GATATCCATGGATGTGTATGACGAAGCTAGCGGAAACACACACCGGCCCGGTCAGGCGTCCCGGGTACCAAGATGCTGTGAGGAGCCGAGAACTACAACCGCGATAAATGCTCGACAGGGAAATTGAAATTCAGCGAAGAAAGAATATTACGGCGCTCTCCTGTGTCTGGGAGGGAGTATGATGTACCCGCACAAAGTGTTCCGTATGGATACACCTCGTGATCCTGGACTGAGCCAAGGCAAGACACCGCAGGATAGGACGAGATAGGACGCTCTCGCCGGATGTAACCCGCCCTTCCTCCCATTCAATGCGCGCGGCGTGCGGCGTGCCTCAAAGGAGAGCGAGCGAGTGCGTCGTATACTGACGAGATAGAGAGCCTCTCGAGACAAGGCAAGGAGAAGCGAGGTGAGGTGGGCAAAAGGCAGGACAAGGCGAGAAGAGGAGGGGAGGAGGATCATGGATGAAGAAGAGAAAGTTGAGGAGACGGCGGCACAGAAACAAAAAGATGAGATGAGGATGGAGACGAGGAGAGAGGGAGCTGCATGAGGACAGGACCAGGGTAGGAGCCTCCAGCAGACTACCTTACCTTAGCACTTCTGCCAGGCACTAAGCTAAGGTACGTGCGTACCTTCCCCCTGTCATCCGTGTCCGCAAGTGGGTCGGGAGATTGACACCTCTTTCCGTCTTCCTAGCTCCTTCCTGCCTCCCTAGCTCCTGCCCCCATAAGGTAAGGTAGGTACCTTACCCCGGTACGAAGTTCCTAAGGTACTTACCTACCTAAGGTAAGATACAACGGTACCTTGCCTCCTGCCTGTGCTGCACTTCACCTCATCCGAATCCAATGGAACACAGGGCCACCAAAGATGATTGCACTTGCATTCGTCTGTCTGAATGTCTCCTCTTCTCTCTCTTTCTCTTACACACAGTTCACTTCTACTCCTCTCCATGCTTGCTCATGCAAATCTCATCCCCCTTCCCCTTCCTCTTCTCCCATGCTCAACATGGCAGGGAACATGCGTACACTACGACCTTCCTCTCCAAAACTTTGCCCTGCCCTGCCTTACCTACATCTAGGTAGCCCTGACCTTGTTCTTTCATCTTGGCAGGGCGTTCACACAGCATCGCTGGAGCAATTCAAGCTGCAGATGAAGTCACCAAGACTGACGACCGGGGACAGGAAGGCAGCACGTCTCATTGAATGCGCCCCCCTTCCCCTCGCCCCTGCCAGCTTCGCTCCAGCTACCTGGCGTCGAGGGCCCAGAGAACAGGTCTTTGGAAGGACCATTGCAACTAGTTTGCCAGACATGCTTTCCTAGTTTCCACCCCGAGAGATCCTCGCCCTCATATCTGACCCAGCATGTCGTTTCTCGGAGACTACCTACCTAGAACGAGAACCAGGAATTAGAATCAGTAGGCCCAACCCAAGGTAGAAACCGACGCTGCCTTACTTCTGCTGCTTCCGCTTCAGGACCCAGGAACTGACATGTGGAACAGCAGCTATGAATAGCCCCGTACAGACGGATATGTACCTTGCCTTGAACTCGCCAGGCACGATTTGGTGTGATAGTCCGGCCAGAGGATAGACAAACCGAATTTTGGGGCGAGGACAAATATCTCAAGTATACAAGGTCACGCATGCACCAACTCTACTTTATGCTTGTGTTCTGCCGGCATCACAAAGCAACCTACTTCATCGTACCGCACCACATTCCTTGCTTGACATGCGCCGTACGACATCGAACGGACATAGGCACGCGCTCTCTCCTCCATGGACACGTTTTTATCCTCTCACAACCCCCTCAACCTCCATCTGCTACAGTGCCCGGCTTGACACGCGGCATGGCAGTGAGACTCCGTCTTGCTACTGTATGCAACCTTGTACAACCTGGCCGACCCCCCAAAGAAGGGGGCTAATGTGGTCTCATTCCCGCGTCATATCAACGCAGCATCGCGACGCAGACGACGTTGGTTCCTAGTTCTTGCCAAGCGGCGACTTCTGTCGCACGCCCACTGCCGTCCTTCATCGCCATCTCGCTTTTGGCCAGGGACCCCAAACCAGCTCGGTAAGCTGGACTTCCAAGGGGGTCAAGTTGGCAAAGCAATATGGCTGACTGGCGATGCGAATGGGTTTCCCGATCTGCCTTTCTTCGTCAATTCGACAGACATTTCCACCGGAAAGTGGAGTTGGCAGAAAACTGTTAGCAATAACCACTATACGGAGTACATAGAGCTGTCCCTGGATTTTCGACAAGGGCACTTGCACGCGACGGGAGCCCGTTCCTTTCGCACTGGCCAGCTCGTGGTCGAGGCATAAGGCAAAGCAGACGGTCCGTTTTTGTTTTAAGCAACAACCCTGATATATCAAAGCTGATCATGTTTGGCAGACGGCTTAGACAACAGCAAAGATTCAGTTTGTCCAACCATTTCGAGATACGGATAGTCCACCACGAGGACAATAGCCGAACAGTTTGTCATGTCTGTTTTCTCTCTTCTCACCCCTCCAATATCATTGCCCATGACTTCGGCCCGCAAGCGCAAGTCACTGTGCGCAACAAGCATAACACAAACAGAGACTACCTTGCCGTTTCCTTCATGTCAAGGTTGAGCAGCGACACCACGACGGCTACATACAGACGAGGTGACCGGGGGCCATTGCTCATCTTCACTTGGCCAGCCAGTACTTTTCCGCTTGTTGCGGATCATCGGCCAGCACTGGGGCACCCCTCCCTCCTCAATTCCCCCATGTGCCTTGGGGGCACAGAATGAACTAGCATTGCTGACAGGCCTATCGCGCCCGCCCGCATGGTCTTCGGCGGCTATGCACATCGCTTCAATCCTGCATAACACCAATCATTGACATTCAAAAAGTTCACAAACCTCATTGATTGTGCCGCAGTTCTGCACTTTGGACTTCGTCTTCCGCTCGTCGAACAATACCAGCCGCGCCGTCCACCTGCGTCAAGTATACCTGCGACGCTCACTGCACTGCCGTGTCTTTATCAATTCACGATGTTTTATACCCTTCTCGAGAATCTTTGAAGCCAGTGAACGGCACCTGAGTCTTCGCTCGCCAGTCCGAGCCACAATCAGCGACGGGAAGCGGAATCCAGTCCGCAAGCCGGCTGCTAGCGGTTGAACGAATAACGAGGATGGCACGGTTGGCCGCTCAATCCCCTCTTCCGTTTCCTTCCATCCCTGCATGGACCCATCCATGCCTAGATGGCCGGAGGATGAGGAATAGTGTGAATGAAGAGACCTGCTCGAGCTCGCAGCAGCAACTCAGCTCGCGGCAATCCTTCGCCCCCATCTGCAAACCTCAAGCCTCCACCCAATGCCTCCATAACATGCTAGGGGCAGGGCAGCCCCTGTCTTGATCGATCTTTGAGTCCCACGGTTCGAAGTCTAGCGCTGTGTCCGTGTCCCGCATCAGCTTGAGGTTTCACTCCTTGCGACTGATCGATTGATACTGCCCGTGAGCTTTGGTCAAGACCAGAGGGGAGCCTAGGAAAAATGTTGATTTGGCAACGCACAAGAACCGCCTCATGATGGAACCCGAGTCCGATGCTCTGTTTTCTCTCTATTTCAACTCATTTCGTTCCAGTCATTAGTATTCAAGCCACAACAAACTATTCTTTCCTTTCCGCATTCCCGGCTCAAGGCTCTTCTTGTTGGGGCCCTTGCTCACCGGCTCCGGCTTCCTTGGTCCGTTGACCGGGTTCGTGTACGACCCGAGACCAACAAGCACGATGAGAAGTCCATCGGACCCTCACCCCCCTCCTTTCTTCATTTTTCTTCTATCCGTTTTTGAGATTCGGAATTCCACGCTGTAGCAATTTACAGTGCTCGGTAAAGGCGCCTGTTGGGAAACAGTCCTTCATCAGCGAACTAATGAGAAGCTAAAGGCGTAGAAATGGCTGTGTTCGTCGGTCGACGTTGAACGCGGCCATGGTTTGACACTTTGAGGTCTTAGCGGCCTGTTCGGCGGGACTTTTTCTTTTTCTTTCCCCTTTCGCAACTACACCCAACGCTCCATCTACCTGGTAGCTGCACCCCGGCGTTTCTCGGGCCTCGGGGGTAGCGGCACACCCTTCGTTACCTGCGACCCCATAAGGCACTTTTCCTTCATTTCGTTTGTCTCTGGAGTACGGCGTAGAGGGATTGGAGAATGGGTGTGCCACACGTTATGCGTATGCGCATGTTGGATCCAGACAAGCCAAAGAGACGCGGCTTGGCGTCTTCACACGCAGAGCGTGAACAAACCCGCGAATCACAAACGAGTTTGTTGACCGCGTGTTGGTGTGGCCTTGTAAGCGAGCGTCCATACACCCGTACAAGCGCCGCCGACATTATCGTCGTCACTGCTAGCTATGAGAGTTCCTTTCAGCCCATGCACCCAAACTGATTCGTAGATTACTTGCAGAGTTATGGGTGATGACTCGTGGAGCTTGAGTCGTTGTATCCGTCGATGTGATGAGACCGGGATTCGAGAGGCGAGATGGAGAAGAGGCAGGGGCCCCGTCCGGAAGAGGATTCGAAGAAGACGCGTCTCGGACGTACCCATGGTATCCACGATACCCATGAGCATCATCATGGGCCATGATCCATCCTGGAGATTCTCCCACCCTTTCCCTGTTCTTTAGAGGAAGAGGTAAAGCCCGTCTCCGTTCTTTGCATCATCGCTCCTCTTACATACTGGGCCCCTCGCCTACTTATCCTGCCTTGCCTATCCGCATCACGAGGGGGAAGGAACAACAAGAATCTTAGAACAAGGAAGGCGTGAAATGTTTGGATGAACGCCTTGGGTGCGGGTGGCGCCGCTGTCGCCCGCGCCGCCCACCGGGCTACGAGTTCTCGTTGTCGAGCGAGCTTTTCCCATTGCGTCTTGGTGCCCAGTGTCTCGCGATGTGACGTGTAACTTTTTCGTTGCACGCCTTCAAAAACCCCCATCTGTCTGCTTTCCTTGTGCGCGTGCCTGGAAAATGCATCGAGAAAGTCTGAAATTAAACAGAGGCAGTCAGTACAGGGTCGACCGACCGACCAACATCCTACATGACGATCCCGGTCCCCCTCTCCAAGGGCCCAGAGGCCCAAAGGGAACAATTGGGTAGTGAAATGATGACAAGGTGCAGATCCAGACCCGGCCGGGTTGGCTCTCCTCTTAGCCTCACACCCTCTTTTTCCTTCTTCTTCTCTTATCCTTTTTGCTGCCTGTCTTGCCCTGGGCATATGCCAATCTTCCCCATCCGTGCTCTTTCGGGGGTGGGAATCCACACACCTGCTGTTGTTACTCAGCCATGACAACTCTTGTGATGGGTGTAAGGGCGCAGCATCTCCGGGTCATGGGGTCGGTCGGAACTTGGAGCATCCGTAAGTGGGAAAGGGCTGCGGCGCTGCGGCAGCGGAGTCGGAAAGCAGGCAGAACTAGGCAGGCATAGGCAACAGCAGCGCATCACGAACGTACAACAAGTCGAAACGGGCAATGGCAGACGATTTCATCACGATTCGCAAGCATCGAGGTGACGACAAAAGTGTCTCACAATCTCGTGATTGCAATGTACGTTGTGCATCAACAAGTCACGAACCAAGCCCCGAGGGGGCGGCCATCCTCTTGTAATATCAGTCTGGTCCAATTTCATGAGGTGGTTCAATCTGCGGCAAGATAGAATAGGAAACAAGGGACTAATCATCCCCCCTCTCATAGCGAGATAATTCCAATCTGTGGTTTTTGTGTGTGTGTGTTCTTCATCCTCTCAAGAAAAGGGGTTCCCAGGTATTGCATTGCTTCTTCGCTCTCTCCCCTCTTCCACACATCAAGCCACCAGGAGCCAACCCCATTTCCTTGGTTTCTCATCGTGCCAGTCCCCGACCGCCCCCTTGCTCTTGCACCCCCTTAATCGCCTTATTGTACAAAAATCAGCTTTTTACATAATTCACCGCAAGCCCTTTTTGCTTCTTTTGAGTGGTTTTTTTTGGTGGATGTTGTTTTTGTGTATGAGGGTATGGTTGCTGTCCTTGCGTCTCCCCAAGTCTGGCCCCTCTATCGTCTTTGCGTGTAGCAATCTTGCTTTGTGTGATGTTGCTTGTCTCTGAGAGCACTTCTATAAATGCAATATTCCTTATCCTCCACGCGAGAAGAGAAAATAAAAGAGGCAAAATCTCAGTGACAGCCTGCGTCTGTAATGAGATGCGATATTCCAATCGACCAGAACCAGTTAAGCCGTAGAATCATTAGTCGGCATATTAGGAAAGTGAAGGATAGTGGCGAACCGAGGACGCGATTGGATGCTTCTTCGTAACTCGGCGCACTATTAGTTGCCGGAGCCGCCGGGTCCAGGTGTCCGGGGAGACCAAGAGGGAGACTAGACTATGTTAGAACTTGCTCAAAACATCAGTCAACAGAAGTGTAGCTTACAGTCGGCGAATAGCTGGGGCTGGTCGGAGACTGCTGGGCTCCTGGAGTCTGTTGGAAACTCGGGCTTGTAGGCGAATACTGAGCCGGTGAAGTAGGAGACCACGTAGGCGACGCAGGTGAGTACGACGGTGACGTGGGACCAGCCCCATGGAGGTTGGGGGATGCAGGGCTGTAGTTGGGACTGGCTGGCGAGTAGCTCGGGGAAGTGGGTGAAGCATACTGCGCGGGCGATGTCGGGGAGTAGTGCCTAGGTGAAGAGGGCGATGCCGGTGAGTAGCTTGGCGATGTCGGGCTATAGTTGGGGCTTGCAGGGCTGGTGGGCCGGAGCATGGGCGATGTTGGCGAGAAAGAGGGCGACGAAGGACTGAACTGCGGCGAGGTAGCCCCGTAACGCCCAGCAGCACCGTCAATGAGCGGCGATGTGGGCGAGTAGCCGGCGTTGGGAGACGACGGCGAGTATCCGCCATAACCGCTGCTGAATGGTGACGTCGGGGATGTACTGAATGGGCTCGTCGGCCGTCCAGGACTGGCGCTTGAATATGGGTTGACAGGAGTAATGCCAAATCCACCGCCATTGTAGTCGGTATTGAAACCGCTGGGACCATCGGGGCCAGCACCAACAATGGGGGAGAAGTTGCCGGCGGCAGGCGAACTGAGAGACATGTAACCCGAATCCGCCATGGGAGACCCAGAGTCGTACGGGGTGGCAGCACCGCCAGCCTCGCCGCCCTTGACCGGCATGCCAGGCATGAGACCCATGCGCGAGTTGTCGCTGATGACGGTCTCCAGCATCTTGGGGTCAAGGAGAACGTCAAAGTGACCAGTTCCCATGGGGGCCATCTGGCCAAGCATGACGTTCTCGGAAATTCCACGGCAGTCGTCCAACTCACCGACAGCTGCAGCCTCGAGAAGGATTTCCACAGTCTCCTCGAAAGAACAACGCATCAGAGCACCAGTGTCGGCTCTGTTGATACCGTGACGGGTGACGGCAGAGATGGTACCTCTGTATGTCATCACGTCACAGAGAAGAGCAAGATGTCTGTGGTTGACGTAGGAACCGTCGAAGGCAAGCACCTGAGTCAACTCACGGATGAGAGCCGCTCTGGCACCCTCAATACCGAAGACTTCGACAACCTGCCACAAGTGATTGGTGTACGTGCGATTGGAATCGACGCCATCAACTGCCAAGACCTGACGCAGAGCTGTTCCGGAGGTGTCCAGGTACCACTCTGAGCAGCGCTCGTCGGCCTTGGCAGCCAACAGAGCTCCATCCTCGGTCTCGATGAGCTTAACCTCCTTGTTCAAGAAGGCTCTTTCGATGCCCTTGACACCACGAAGAGAGAGAGTGTCGAGCAAATGAGTTTCAAGTCTCTTCAGCATGACGTCGTCCTCAATCTTCTTCTCGCCATCTTCGTCCTTGTCATTGCCTGCATGCATGGGACGAATACGAATGATTTGCTCTTCAGCGTTGTTATCACTGAAGATGACAGCAAGATCGTTGGGGTACTCCTCCTTGATGCGCCTAGCAACGTCCTCAACAGTCAGCTCCTTGTCAAGAAGCTTCTGGCGGTCCAGAGTGAGACGAAGCAGCCATCTAGATTGGTCTTCCGTCTTGTCGTGCGACTCGTCGGGGATAAGGTAGTAAGACTCAACCATATCCAGATCGTCGGGAATGTTGGTCGAAGTGATCTCAGGGTCGTAGTAAATCTCGGTGACAGCCGTGACGGAGCGCAGAGTCGTGTGTTCGACCGTGCTTCGAAGTTGCTTGGCAGCTTCTTGACTAGCGTTGTCCTCACCACTCAGATAAACAACCATGGAAGGAGTCTTGATGTTTTGGGCCAAGTTGAGAATTTCCTTGAGACGAGGGACACCGAGAGTGACGTTCTTGGAAGAGACACCAGCGAAATGGAAGGTGTTCAGTGTCATCTGAGTGGCAGGCTCACCAATTGACTGGGCCGCGATGACGCCAACCATCTCACCAGGACTGACAAAGGCTCGGTCCCAGCGGGTTTCAAGCTCTCCCAAGACGTGCTCGAAAGCCATCTTGTTGAGGCGTTGCTGGCAAGCAATACGCTTGAACGCGAGTCGAGAGCGGATCTGCGCCTTGAAGAGAATTGTGGCGCTGTAATCAGCCTCCTTGGAGATGTCATCCTTGCCACGGACGATAGTCATTCTCTTAAGCATCTCCTGTACTTTGGGGATGACATCTTGAGGTCGCAAGTCGCTGCGCTGGAAATCTTCAACAGCAAAGAGCTTCTTGGCAGTCTCCATGAGACGAATCAAGTTCAAGGGCAACTGCATCGACTCATCATCCTTCCTCTTGAAATTGATCTCGCGAACCTGCTTGCGATCAGAAAGCAAAGCTTCGAACTCTTCATCCAGAAGCTGCTGAACGGCCGGGTCGCCTGCCATCTCGTTGCCGTACTCGAGCCACTCAAGCTCTTCCGGCCTGTTCTCGTCCATGACATCCAGACGGAATCGGTCGGCGAACTTCTTGTGGGACATGTTGAGGTGGTCCATACGCTGCTTCTCGATGTAGATGGCATCGAGACCATCCTCACCATACAGAAACTGTAGGATATCACCCAAAGAGTTTCTGACGGTACCATCGTACTTGGCACTGACGTCCTCGAGCGCCTTGACAAGACGACGCTGGATGTAACCGGTCTCAGCGGTCTTGACAGCGGTATCGATCAAACCTTCTCTACCAGCCATGGCGTGGAAGAAAAATTCACTAGGCGTGAGACCACGGAGATATGAGTTCTCGACGAAACCACGAGCCTCGGGCGAGTAGTCGTCCTTTGTGAAATGCGGCAAGGTGCGGTACTTGAAACCGAAAGGAATGCGCTTTCCTTCGACGATTTGCTGTCCGACCAGGGCAGTCATCTGGGAAATGTTGATGGATGAACCCTTGGAACCGGACGATGCCATGGTGACGGCATTGTTCAAATCCTTCAAACTCTTCTGCGTAGTTGTACCGGCCTTATCACGAGCGGTGTTCAGGGCCTTCGAAACCTTGCTCTCGAAAGTCTCACGAATGTTCATACCGGGCAGAGGCTCCAGCTCGTTAGCAGTAGCTTGTCTTGTGAACTCCTCGACTTCGGCCTTGTGCTCGTCAATGTGAATCTGGACCTTCTCAATGGTGATCTTGTCGGGAATCGTGTCGCCGATACCGATGCTGAAGCCGTTGTGTAGCAGCCAGTAGTTAACTGTTTGCTGGACACCAACCAGGAACTTCATGGCCGCTTGAGGTCCATGCTCATTGTAGACGATATGGACGATACCACCACTGGCAGCACCAATGTTCTTCTTGGAAAGCAGACCGTACATGATCTGTCCTGACTGAATCAGGAGACCCTCATCCTTCAGGGGGTTCTCCTCCTTCGAATCGGGGGCACTGTGCAAGCTGACAATGTTGGGAACTGCCATGCTCATGATCTGCTTTCCAGTCCACCTTGGTCTGGGCCGAATGATGGCGGGTTGGGGAATGTTGCCATCCCAGTTGGGAACCCACAGCATAATGTTCATGACTTGCTCCTTCGTGAGGAACACATCACGACGACACAGCTTGTAGGCACCAGCAAGAGTGTCTTGCACGATACCCATCAGAGGACCGTTTCTTTGCGGGGAGACGATGTTGATGGGGACCAAGCACAGCTCCTTGACTTCAGCCCTCGTCTCTTCACTTTGGGGGACGTGAAGATTCATCTCGTCACCGTCGAAATCGGCGTTGTAGGGGGAGGTAACGGACAAGTTTAGACGGAAAGTTGAGTAGGGCATGACGCGGACTCTGTGACCCATCATAGACTCCTTGTGCAGAGATGGCTGACGATTGAAAATGATATAATCGCCCGTAATCAGATGACGCTCGACCTTCCAGCCGTATTCCAAAGAAATTTGTCCAGCTCTGCGGTGGTGGCGCAAATCAATTCTTGTACCGTCGGAGCGAATGACGTACTTGGCTCCTGGATGCTCGTTGGGCCCGTTTTGAACAAGCTCGTGAAGCCTGCCGATGTTGTACGGAGTAACGGTCTCGGGGTAGGTGAGAGTTCTTGCGATACTGCGAGGAACACCAACCTCGTCAAGAGACAAGTTGGCATCACCGGTAATGACAGTACGTGCCGAAAAGTCGACACGCTTTCCCATCAAATTGCCACGAAGACGACCCTCCTTGCCCTTAAGACGTGCACGAATAGCCTTGACGGGACGACCACTCTTTTGCAGCGCACGAGGTTGGCCGGCGATGTCGTTGTCCATGTATGTAGCCACGTGGTACTGCAAAAGCTGCTCGAAATCTTGCGCAATATGAGCAGGTGAGCCTTCGCGAATGGCCTGCTTGACGTTGCTGTTGGCGCGAATGATATCACCGAGTTTGTAGGTCAAATCGTCTTCGTTTCTAAGTCCCTGACCGGTTCCGTCCATAGAAATACTGGGACGGACAGGCGGGGGCGGAACGGGAAGAACGGTCACGATCATCCACTCTGGGCGAGCGTACTCGAGGTTGAGGCCCATATCTCTCAGATCGTCGTCACTGATGCGACGCAAGATGTTGTGGGCCATCTCTGGAGTGATTGGGGGCTCCTCCTTCTTCTTGACGCCATCTTCACCTTGAGCTTCGTACTTGGCAATGAGCTGCAGAGCCTTGTGCCGTACCCTGGGCTGAATGTTTCCACAGCCGCCATGGTTGACGGGAGCCTGCTTCATGTTGAGGCCGTACTCTCCATCATCGGGCTTCTGCTCCTTAACCTCGTTTTCGCAACGAGTCTTCTTCTTGCAAATGTTCCAAATGCGGTTGAAGCGAACCTTGGGGTCTCTCGTGTTCACAGCTTGGAGAAATTCAGGGTCGCTCTGAGAAGCCAGGTTAGCAAAATCAAGTCAAGGCGGCTGTCAGACATCGTAGAGTAGACTAACTCTGTCGGCCAAGACCTTGCTGCAGTTATGACAGACGATCTCCAAAACCTTCTTGACTTTCTTGATAAAGCCAGGATGGTAGACGGGCTTCGCCAGCTCGATGTGGCCGAAATGTCCAGGACATTCACCCATCGCCTGGTTGCAGGTCTTGCACTTGAATTGACGATCGATGGAACCAAGGAGAGGATCATTCAGACCGCCGTCGCGAGGCTTTGTCCGCGTCTCGTCCATGGTCTCGGGGTAGACACAGTGACAGACACTCATGTTCTTGATCTCCTCAGGAGCCATGAGGCCGAACTGAATCTCCTCGACCGTTTTGATCGGCGCACTCGAGTGCGTGAAGTAAAGGTTCGCCATTTTGATGGTGTTTTCGATGTCGTTGGGAAAGAATGTGTCGACGGGAAATCACGAGGTATAGTGTCGGAAAACAGGCAGAAGTCGCCAATAGTCGTTACGCGACCCGGAAATGTCGCAAACGAGGCGCAAAAAAGTCGGAAAGCGAGAATCTATCGCGCGAAGCGCTTTTCGAGATGGAAAAATCGGACAAGGTCGTCTATCGATGGCGCTCTTGACTACACCAGTCCCCGGCCAGAGGCCCAGGAGAAGGTTCCACTGATCCTCCCAATCGCCGCCACCGTAAGTGCGTCGAAGAATCGAAAAATAATCGCGATCGTATCAAGTCGTGTATCGTGTCGGAAATGAATGTGCGGTCCAGGGGCGCGATTTCCGACGCGCGTGGTGATTATCGATGCGTGGATTGACGGAGTTGTAGAAGTGAAGACCGTGGAGGCGAGAATGAGGAGCGAGGTCAGAAACAAATCTTGCCTCCAGGCGGCTGGCGCAGCCGGCAGAACTACGCTAGCCGGATTTGGTAATTACCCTCCTTTACCTTCTTCAGGCTGGATACGCGTGCCCGAGGTCGAGGATACCCACAAAAGTCATGAAACTGCATGGGCAATCGCCGACGGACTTAAGTACTGGGTACTCCATATTCTCCGTTCTGCCATGTACATTTCCCATAGTGAATCGCTCACTGTGCGAGGAGAAAAGTCCTGAGGAACTTCAGCTGCAAGCCTGCATCACGCCGATGAGTCAAGAATTCCTAGGGAACCTTTACAGCGGTAAAGATGAAATTGGCGTTGACCAGACTTGATGGCTGAGGATTTTTGAGACTCGACTCCCTCGCTAACATTTCCTCCAATGGCTGTCGAAGTCTCGTCATTATTAAGCAGCCACCCAGCTTCGAGAGCTTTTAGAGTCCTGGATCATTCTGGTCTACATCACTGCAAGCCCCATCGCGCTAAGTCCGAGCAAGGGTCCGCACACCAACGAAGCTCGTCCCATGGCGACGCGATCCAACGCCATGTCACGCGTTTTTGGTGTTCACGCTTCAACGTTAGTTCATTAGAAGCCTGCCTGTCAACGTAGAAACCACCAACGCCTGGGGGTATTATTTCCTTCATCTTCTCCGACCTTTGCCACCAATCCTACCCTTTCGAGAGGTCATCTTATCCTCCACGACTTCGCTGTCCGGTATCTCACCATCCGCACCCGGACTCCTTCTCCGCATGGTACCGGTAGATACCGCAACGAACTCTTCCTCGCTATCGCTCTCTCCGAGATCGAAGAGTATCGGCATTCGGAAGGCTCCAGCATCGCTAATGTGCCCATTGATAACCGTCGAAGTTACGACATCCACTTCCTCATCCTCCGCGTCTAAGCGTCTCTTTTGCAGCTCCTCCTGGCCGTATATGTCGAATTCGTCCTCTAGTTCCTCGTACTCCTGGTTCTCCTCAACCTGCGCAAAGTCGGGCGCAAGTCTGGACCACTTCTGTTCGGGTATGACGGACCAGATGTATATTCTCCCCGTCTCGAGGCCGCACGTTGCGATGAAGGGTCGATCCGGGTGCCATTCCACAACGCCTTGCTCTTCCTTGGGGCCGTCCAGTATTCTGATCAGACCTGTACTGCCCATGCCTCTGTCCCAGACATATATTTCGTGGTTATTGTACGTTGATGCTGCGACGTACTCGGACGCGGAACTGAACGTGACGTGGTTCCATGACAGCCTGTTAACTTGGTCTGAGAACTTGTGTTCTTCTGTGAAGTGTATGGTATCGAGATCGAGGTCCTCAGCCGCGAGATTCGGAATATGGAAGGTTCTGACAATGCGGTCTTGGGCGTTGATCAGGAGAACCCTCCCCGAGTTGTTCAGGCGCAATGTTGTAATAACACCACTGCATGGCTTTTCTGAGTATATCGTCTTCCGAGTCTTTGCATCGATGACATTGATCCATCCCTTGTTGGTTCCCGCCAGGATATGCTCTCCCGTAGAAGTGAATATCGTGACGGTGGTCATCTGTTTGGCGTCGTCTTTCAACTGTTTCTCGGTAGGTTCGCCGTCGATGTCGGGGCGTTTCGGTGCCGAGCTGAGGGGGTATTTGACATCGGTCACCTCTGACACATCGACGAGGATCGGCTGATCCTCAAAAATCGAGGCAACAAACTGGTGACTTGCCAAGTTAGCAAATTCTCAACTTCACGGATGTTGGGGCTATTCAACTCACTGATTGAAGGGATTGAGCTCCGCGATGTATGCCGGAGCCCGGAAACGGACCTCACGATACCGTTTGCCATCTTTCAAATCCCATAAGACAGCCTTCCATCCTTGGCACGCTGACAGCAGATACCGGCCGCCCCTAGACCAACTCAGCGAAGTGATGCTTCTGTGGTGGCCGCGCATCTTCCTCGCTACGCCCATTGTTTCGATATCCCAGATGACCACTGTGCCGTCCACCCTACCAGAGGCCAAGAGGTCACCCGATCGGTTGAATCGTAGGCATGTTGAATGTCCGGATCGGATTGTGTTCGTGTTGTTGATCGCGTTGATGGCTTCGACCGCGGCGATGGCCTCATTCTCTTCATTACTGAGAAGGAAGTTCATAGTCGCGGGAGGCTCAGCTGCTTCCGCAAGCTGGCGATCTGGACGAGCTCTGCGTGATTTGGATTGAGGGAAGTGATGGTGCAGGTCGCAAGCTTGGAGTGGGCTGGATTCGCAGAATAGATAATTGTTGGAGTGCAGCCGTGCGCATGCTACTGCCTTTCTTGCGCCTGCAAGGCTGAAGTGCTCCAGGGATCAGGCCCCACAACGCTGCCTGCCGCCGGATACCTCAGATATACCTACAGCACCTCTCCGAGCCTTTGCGCGTGCGAATTCAAAAGGGGATCTCAGAAAAAAGAGGCTTACATATGGTAGAGCGAGTCAAGTTCTCTTAAGAGCTACTTGCCGCTAAAGATCGAATTTAATTGGCCATCGAATATCGTCCTTAGACGCTGAATGCGCTTCACATTCTACTTTCCTTCTTCGACATAATAGGCACGACCAAGAGAGGATTAGAAGACGGAGACGTCTGTCTACCATATTCATGCTACTTTATTTCTCTAAGAAAAGTGGGAGGAACTTTCCCGTTTGCATACTTTTGAAATTGACAGAAAATTAAAGTAGAGAAATGAATAGTACAGCATGTCTATGGTGAGTTACATGAAAGGGGACTGCTGCCTTTCCACATCCCTGATCCTTGCACACATCTCAGCTCGAATTTAGACCCCGCTGAAGCAGCGGCAGAACAACCCCTCCCCCGCCATCCCGTCTACTGGGCTGTCTGAAGTTCGTCTCCAACACTGCCTTGCAGTAGACCTCAGACGGTTAGTTCTTCCCCATCTTCACAATGGCGAACTCCAAGTAAGAGTCCATGGTCAATTTGCACCGCCCTGTTGAATTTTGATCTGACCGCCTCTCCAGATTCGAATACGTCAAGAGCTTCGAGCAGCCCGACTTTCTCTTGCCCAACACTTGGATCGTCGTCCGCATAGACGGGCGAGGTTTTACCAAGTAAGTCAGGAGGTTCGAGGGGAGATCTGCCTTCATCGACGTTGCCTTACACCACGTAGATTATGTGCAAAGTATGGCTTTGAAAAGCCCAACGACAAGAGGGCCATCGACCTCATGAACGCCGCCGCGAGGGTCGTCGTCACCGAGCTCCCCGATATCACCATCGCATACGGTGTCAGCGATGAGTACAGCTTCGTGTTTCACAAATCATGTACCCTCTTCGAGAGAAGAGCCAGGTAAGCGAGTCGTTCTCTCGGGGAATCCTTACTGGTTTTGCTCCCAGTATTTCAAGCTGTATTTGCTAAGTTTCTTTAGCAAGATCTCAAGCACAGTCGTGTCCACGTTTACTGCCAACTACGTGCACTTATGGTCGCAGTATTTCCCAGATACCCCGCTCACCTCGCCTCTGCCGAGCTTTGACGGGAGAGCAGTGTGCTATCCTACCGTGTCGAACTTGAGAGACTACATGAGCTGGCGCCAAGTCGATTGTGAGTGCCCTATTAACGTGCTTATTCGTGCTCTGAGGAAACTAACCTAGTGAAAAGGCCACATCAACAATCTCTACAATACAACATTCTGGGCTCTAATCCAATTAGGTGGTCTAGACAACAGAGAGGCAGAGAAGCTTCTGGCAGTGAGATTTCCTTAACATAGGCGTACTCATGCAAAGATGATCTAACTATATCACAAGGGTACCGTATCCGGAGACAAGAACGAGATCCTCTTCTCAAAATTCAAGATCAACTACAACAACGAACCCGAGATCAACAAGAAAGGCAGTGTAGTCTTCCGAGACGTGAGTCATACCAAGCTGTCTCATTGACAGAATGCGTGAGACGCAGAAATTCCCCTGACCAAGATATCATTCTACAGTACGAGCTCGTCGAACCAGGTACGCACAACGCCGCGCAGGCGGCAGATGCGCTCGCGGAGCCTGTACAACAGAGCAAGACACAAGCGGAGAAGGACAAGAAGAAGCGCACCAAGGCCCGCGTCGTCATCGAGCACCTCGACATCATCAAGGACGACTTTTGGGATAGGAGGCCGTGGCTGCTCTCCAACAAGCCAGGGAAGACCCCCAAGGAGACTTGAATGCCTTGAACCTCTCGAATAAGAAACCTTGGCTCTATTTATCGTCTGGTCTAGAAGTCCCTCTAGTCTACACGCCGTCAGAGAGACATAGATAGGTCTGTATCCGGATAGACACGGCAGACTGCTTAGAGAAGGACGAGGGGGTGGTAGGCATGAGGTAGAGCTATCCACAGGGGGATGCCATATCTAGCTCTATGCCTGCCGATCCTCCAAAGGGAGATGAGGTATACATCACTTTAGAAGGCTGAGGCCAAAATGCAGAGAACAAGAACATCGTGAATCCTGGTTGATGATTAAGCCTTCCAACGTTGAATCTATTATCTTCGAAGCAGCAGCAGCCTGTGACTGCAATAGAGCCCCTTTTGCTCTGGCGTCCTAGCTGGACGGCGTGACCTTTATCTTCTATCTATGAATCAATGCTTTTTGGATATACCTTGCGCCATATGATACCGTAGTTCTCTGTTATGAACAGGATCGCCTTTCCACCGCCAGAGCCCTCGAACCAAGCCGTAAAGCTGGCGGCTGATGCTCAGCGACGTCGGCGCCGCACAGCCTGTCGCTCTTCGGCAAAGTAGGCACGGCGACGGGGTCTCGTCTTCGGGTTGGTGATGCGTGGCGGAACATGTCCACGTTTGTCACCCCTTTTTCGCTCCAGAAACCCATCCTCATCTCAGCCCACAACATCAGCCAGACACCCCCTTCTTCGCCTTCTCCGCTTTCCTCGCTTCCCTCTTCGCCTCCTTTGCCTTTCTCCGCGCCCTCTTCTCATCCTTCAACACCTTCTTCGCAGCCCGATCAACCCTCCTCGCTTCCCTCGCCGTCTTCCTCGCCGCCTTAGCAGCCTTCCTCGCTCTCCTCTCCTCCTTTGTCTCCCCCTCTTTCCTCTTCCCGTCCACCTTTGTTGTTGCCATCGTCATGTTCGCAATACTCGTACTGAAACTCTGAGGCGCCACAGCCCCAGTAACCTCCCTCACCCTCTCCTCCACCTCCCCCTCCTGCTTCATCCTCTCCAACCCCTCAATCGTCCCCTCCAAGAATCCGCCCTTGACAAAACTCGCATACAGCATCCACTTGCCCCCCGAGACTTTCTCAATCTGGTTCAGCCGGCCCGCCGTCACCGTCTGCGTCACCTGTCCCGGTTTCGACGTATCCAGCCCCTGTAGCTGCTCGTCAAAGGCGTTCATCCACCACGTGTCGCTCGTAAAGTGCGCTTTCGTGCCCAGGCCTTTGGTGTTGTCTTTGCGGTTCAGGAGGAGCGGCTTCGCGAGGCCGATGCGGTCGTCTGTCGCGTGGAGGGAGTGGCCGCTCCCGCGCCATCCTTGCGATTGGAGGAGGGCGCGCGCGTCCATATTTCTTTCTTTCTTCCTCTCTCGTCGGTTGTGGGAGTTTGGAGGGGTTGTGTCGTTTGATCGCTTTCGATGGTAGATTCTTCGGTTTCTTAGGTTCGCAACCGGACGGAGAGAAAAGTAATCAGTAGAATATATGTCGGTAGGATCGAAGGTGTCATGAGCGCATGGGGGGCAAGTTCATGGCTGAGCATTCGTTAGATTTTGTCTTCGTTGGGCGGCTGCAAATGGAGGGAGGATTGCGACGAGGTACTCGATCAAAAAGTTGGTCGGTGAACTGGAATTTTTCTGCTCTGCCGTTCTTATCTTATCTTATCTTAGCCTCAAGCCAGCCATGAGACCCAGCCCCACCAACATCAATTGTCGACCCAACCGACAGCTGACCATTTCACGTCATTACCTCGATGACAGGAAACATAGAGCCCTTTTTGATTGAGTAACTAGTTCATGTTCCAATTAAAAGTCTCTTTGCATGACTGGGGACTAATCAACGTAATGCGCCTTGGTTGCTCCCTCCAAATCTGTGAAAACTCTTGCTGGTCGACAGATCCAAAAACACTGGCGCTCGAGAGCTAAGCGATCCAATTGTGTAATACCGTTTCGACTTTGAACGTTTCTTCGTTGATGAGGTATCTGAACTAAACACTTTTGTAGCTCTCCCCTCTATGATTGTACAAGCAGATGCCCCATTTTTTGGTGTCCCATATGCATCCCGAAAATGTGAAAAAAATTTACGCCTTAACCTTCTTAGCCGCGGGCTCCGCGGCAGCCTCATCCAAAGCACGCTTCTCAGGCTCGCCAGCAAGCTCTCTCTCCGCCTTCTCGAACTTGGCCTGCTCCTCGGCGGTCAAGTTGGGCAACAGCGGCTTCTCCTCACCCTCCGTGATGTTCAAGTGGAAAGTACGGATGATGGAATCAGCATCGTCAATGGCAATTGGCCTGACGTCTGCCAGGGCCTTGATCTTCTGAGTGACAACCTTGACCTGAGCATCGGTCATGGTGAGACCAAGCTGCTCCACACGCGACTTGATGGCGTTCCAGCCAGTCAATCTTGATGCGAAGTGGACGTATCTGCTCATACCGAAATCGGCGGGGTTGATGATTTCTGCATATAAGTTAGCCATGTCCCCCGTTACGAAACAGTCCAATGAACATACCGTATGTGCTAGGGTTGTTAAGGATGGCCTTGGCGTGGATACCGGCCTTGTGGGTGAAGGCACAGAAACCGGTGATGTAGTTGTTGAAGGGAATGTTGATCTCGACTGCCTCGGCAACGAGATCCTCAAGCTCCTTGAGCTTGTGGAGCTTATACTTGGACTTGGTGTAGTCGGGGGCGGCGACGATCATGCGAGCCATCAGACCACCGAGAGGGGTGATACCGTTGCGCTCACCGATACCGATGACGGAGGTGTCGACTGGAAGCAAAACATTAGTCTGTGAGAGGTACGAAGCCGTAAAGTATTGAACTCACTGTGGGTGGCACCGGCCTCGAGCGCGCAGTAGGCGTTGGCAATGGCGCATCCAGTATCGTTGTGGAACTGTTCAGGTGTAAGCATTAGGTATGCGCCGTGCTCACTCGGTCCGAAGATGACTTACGTGAGTCTCGATATCGCAGCTGACGACACCTCTCAGAGTGCGGACAAGGTCGTAGACTTGTCTGGGGCTGGCGCAGCCGACGGTGTCGGCAATACCAACTCTGTGAACACCAACCTTGTCGACGGCACTGTAGACGGAAAGAAGGTCGACGAGGTCGGAACGGAATGAGTCCTCGGAAGAGAAACGGATCTCGAGGCCCTTGGACTTGACGAACTGAATAACCTCGATGGCGGTGTTGATGATGTAGGTCATGTCCTTGCCGTGGGAGTGCTCGCGGAGGTATGAAGAGGTGCCAATGACGACATCAACACCGTCAACACCGGTCTCGACGGCGAGGCGGGCATCGTCCATCTGTGCACTATTAGCCTTTGCGTTGCCTAGGCGTGCGGATGCAGAGAGCTCTTACGTGGCAGCGGACGTGAGTCAGGATCTTGGACTTGAGGCCGAGCTTACAGATGGCCTCGCAATCCTTGCGGGACTGCTCAGAGGCAGCGGGCGAGGTAAGCTCAATGTAGTCGACTCCAAAGTCATCGAGGGCCTTGGCAATCTTGATCTTGGTCTCGGTGTCGAAGAAGGCGTTGGCGAACTGCTCGCCCTCTCTCAGGGTGGACTCGACTATACGTCACACGTCAGTGGGGGTCACTCGAAAGAAGCCCGTTCGGCAGAACACACTAATCTTGTATCGGTCAACGTTGCTGAGGAAGTCGCCGACCGGCTGGTAAGGGTTGCTGTGCTTCTGCTTGGTCTATATCGTGGAGGTTAGAACAGTTCGTCACCGGAACCGCGAAAGCGGTTTTCGGAGGCGATTGATGGTCCTTACAGGAATGGCAGTGTAGCCGGGGTGGTCTAGACGCAACAAAGTCAGTCATCAATTGACAACGATACAACGCACGAGAAGCTGCGAAACTTACCAGCCTTGTTGGTACCGTTGGCAGCGCCATTGCCGTTCGCATGGCCATTGGTGCCATTGGCGTGGCCATTGGAGGCCGGGACGTCAGGAGTAGGGCACATTTTTTTATGTTCATGCACCGTATGTCGTATACTAGAGTGGATTGTTCGAGGATGGATTGATCGAAGCTCGGGATAATGGTGGGATTTATAGACGGAGGTTTGAGCAAGTTGAGTCACAGTTCAAAGATGGACTGGGAAGATGGACGGTAGGCCAAGAGTATATGTAAGGAAAAACTGGAAGTAAAAAAAAAATAGCACCGGGCGAGGCGAGGCGGTACGCAACAAGGTGTGGATTGGGCGGGATGGCCAGTGATGACCGAGTACGGCGTTCGCTGTTCCCAAGGTCAGCCAGTCAATGAGCGGAAAAAAAGAATTTTTTCCACTCTTTAGCCCCGCTCATGGCACATCCCCGACCGCGCTGCAGCACTGTGCCATTGACTCTTAATCAACATTTTCCAAGGGCCGGTCGTTACGTCTGTCCTGTCTGTACCCCGCTAGATGCCACCTGAAGTGGGCTGCATTCGACCTCTCTCATTGGAGAAAGGCCTCTCCACACAGCTCGCAGGCCAATCAGCCCCCCGTTATCGGAAGATCGATCTCCCACTTGGAGGTCCACGCTAAACCTCACGCGGTAATTCCACATGCTGCAGCTTGCCTGGGTTCATGGTCCGTGTCCGTTTCTGTGCCATCCTCCCGCGCAGTCCTGCCACCTGCTGATGGATCATGGTCCTGCAGCAGTGATGGCCCTGCGTGAAAAGACACCGCCTTTCGTCCTCCTCGTCGGATCCTGCCCCCCAATATGATGTCTCTGCAGCCATTGTTGGCTGATTTGTGAGCGGCGAGAGGGGCCTGGCCTACCAGTTGACAAGGTTCCTGGAAGCTGCAAGGTCAGCTACCTGGGCGGAGCGCCGACCTCCTGCAGCAATGCAAAGAGCAGACAGTTGCTCTGTCGCAATGGTGCCGTCGGAAGTCATGACCTGACCGAACTGTCCTTGGAAGCTTCAATCAACTCTTCCCCCCACGAATCTGAGTGGCGCTAAGCATCAAAGGCGATAACTGGGACGAAGTTTGACAGAGTTGGCCCGGCTGCGCGGTCCTCCTCGTGGGTTCACGAGCAACACGCTCATGAGCCGAGCGTGCCTCGCGCCAACCAGCTACCACGTATTAAACATCAGACCAATTGCCGCCAGCCCGACCTATACTAGTGATGCAACTTGCCGTGCTTAATCCGGACCCCAGTCGGATATCTCTTCAAAGACAGTGATGATGTGAGGAGCTGTCCATCTTCATGCTCGTTAAACAAATCGAACAAGCAATGGAAAACGAGAGGATTAGCTGGGCACTCGAGGTCGTCGTCGGACCCTAGGTACCGCGACGCCATAATATGGTTAGGTCGCTTTGTCGGATCCTCCGAAGAGCCCCCCGTCCGCATTACCGACATACTCCCAGACATCATCTGGCTGCCGGTTGCTGGGTGCTGGGGTAGACGCTGCTCCAGTTTTCCCACGAGGGTCCACACTTCAATAACGGATCCCCAGACGACGTCATGCAAGTATGACTCCTAGAGTCCTTGCGATGTCCGTACGGATTGGATAGGTATTGTAGGTATTTCAAATTATCTGATCTACTGTCTCCGCATCTGCTGCGTTATACCTGCGAAAGAACAAAAGCATTTACAGTGAGTCACTTCTGGTGTGCAGCCGCACCTTGATAATATCTCATGAGCCAGAGAAACCTACCTGTCTGGTGTTTCGTTGGTTGCCCTCATCGTGAATCAATTCCTCATTGTGTCCCATCTCAATGAGTCGAAATACATGAAGGCAACTCAGTGATCACGAAGAAACCACCAGTTCACGCCTCGCTTTTACTGGATTTGGACATACAACTTGGTATGTATATAAGCTCATTTCCTATCTAATGATAGCGATTTACTCTACAATGGAGGTTCCATGGCGATATTATGGCGGCTACAAAGCCATTCCAAGCCCAGAACCGAGAAAGAGTACCCAGACGGGTACGAGGCGCGAAAGCGCACAAGTCCATCCCAGAAAGTGAAACCCACGAGAACCAGAAAACCCTTATCACCCCAGCAAGTGCTTAGATATCCACCAAGAACATGTCGCCGCTTGAGGCAGAATGGATGTGGCCCCGCAAGAAGGTACGGCCTGGCCATCAAACAGACCAGACGTACTCACCATCAGGGTCGCCCTCCAGCGCCGGTCTCTTGGGCTGAGGACCAGCGGTTCTCTCGCGCTGCCTAATGGCCATCATCTCAGTGATTGAGTAGTATCCCATGTAACCGTAGTCCTCTCGGGTCACTGCCACGTACTTTCGTCGATAATGCTGGCTCTCAAGATCTCCCAGCGTCTGGGCCCCTTGCTTGATGACCTTGCCCACCTGGTTGTTGACGGACGGATTCTGAGCATCCTGACTAGGCATCTGAGTACCCTCCTGTTTGACTTTCATCTCAGAGCGCTGCTGAGAGCGATCCGGGGACTGCTGGTATTGAAGATGCACTTGAGACTGGAGATGCTCTCGAGCCCGCCGGTCATTCTCCCAGGCAATCTGCTCTTGCTGAAGTTGCAGTCGCATGTTTTCGCCTGGTAGTCCGGAGTTGACAATGCGAAGTTGCTGCGGTAAATGGCCATAAACTCCATTGGCAGCTTGCGCACCCGGGAACTGTTGTGTGGCGTGTGAAGACTGGCCAAAGCCCGCATTTGGCTGGTTGTTGTGACGAGTCTCTGCAGTATGAGCCTCTCTAGTTGGTGTTGACGCCACGTGTGCCTGGGAGGCGGCATGACCCAGGGGCTGAACAGCTCTGGAAGACCGGGGCTGCAACGAGTCACTCAGAAGGGGTTGATGCTCTGCCTCTTCAGACATCAGCCTCTGTAAGCGAGAAAATACATGAGATCCATCCTGAGGCGAAGCAGCTGGATGATCGTTGTGTCCATAGTTAGGAGTCGTCTCCGAAGTTGTCACCGGAGCCATCGCTGCGGGCTGATGAGCTGTAGGCACATCATCGTCTTCAGGCCAACTCGGGATGGGCGGATAGAAGGTGGTCAACCCTTCGTTCGTCATGTACTCCCGAAATCCGAGTGGGTTCGCCGCGGAAGCAGCTGTCGCGTCCTTAAGTTCAGCTTGATCCCAGACATCTTGCAAGGTGATTGGAGGCAGTAGAGTAAGGGCGGAAATACCCTCATGCGCCTGACGGTTCTCAGAACGCACTTGGGCGATAGGCTGAACGTCCGCCTCGTTTCCGTGGATGTTTTGGGTGCCCGAATAGTCGCCAGACGGAACAGCTTGACTAGTGGTGTTGGAAGACTCCTAGTTCCGGGGCACATTGGCAAGCAGTGTCATTGTCTCCACCTCGAAATCGGCTCCATTCGGCAGCTTTTGTCCCTTAGGCAGAGCAGCCGCGACGGAGACGTCGATTTCATTGACCATTCCAGCCTGGAGCTGAACGTCAAAGACTCTAGCGTTGACGGGGAGCACCTGACCCTGAATGGGATGAGATTGCTGTACAGTAGACCGGTTTACCTGCACCCACAATCGCCACTGACGTCCTTCCTTCTCAAGGAACAGCGGCAAAGTTGCAATGACCTGAAGTCTCAGCTGGGTGGCGGGAATATGAACGGTCACAGACTGCTTGCACTCTCTTTCGAGAGGCTTTAAGCTCATGTTGAAGCGGCTTCCGATATTGATCATCGGATGAGCCTGGATAGTCAGATTGGTGATGAGTGCATCGGCAGCGCCTGTGAGCTTGATTAGTGATATTGTCATTTTCATCTCTCTCACACTATACGTACTCTTGCCAGGCGCGCGGAACTGCTGATCCCACAGAGGCTTCGGAGGCGGCTGTGGGATGACATTCACCTGCGGCTGAGGCTGCGCAACACCAATGGGTTGGAACGTCGCGCTGGATAGGTTTGCTGTCTGGCCAGCAGGCGGCGGGAAAGCAGAAGGCGTACTGGGTTGACCGGGCGTCACCGCAGGAGAAGGTCGTGCTGCGTCCTCGCGCTTGATGTTGTTCGCGACAGAGGGGCTCGGGGATGCGACCGATGTGCTTCGAAGTCTGTCCATCGTAGCGGAAGCAGCTGGTAGTCCACTCTGGCGAGCGGTACCATTGCCAAGCGGCGCTTGATCACTGACGGTGGCTCCGGCTGCCTGGGGAACTGTGGGGGCTGGCGAGTCCGCGGAATCACTCTTGCCCCCAACATGGATGGTAATCTTCTTGGATGTGGACGGCTGCTCAGTGGCTGACTGCTGGACCTTAAGCTTGATCTTGGGCTGCGAAGGCTCCGGGACAGCTGCCTTGGCCTTTTTGATTTCATTGGCGAAGAATTCCTACATCCTTGTCAAAAGTTGATCTCGTAGTCGTTAAGGTGAGACATACCTGAAGTTCTCGCGCAAGTTCATAGATTTCGCTTCCTTCTTCGTTGTAGTACTTGGCGTTATCCCACAGCAAGCTAGCTGCTTCTTCGAATGCCGCCCAACTCTTCAAGTCGCTAATGCCGGTGGCCTCGTTGCGCCCATGAACGCCCTTCGTGGCCTTCTGAAGCTTTCTCAGCGACATGGGATCCTTGACGACTCTGTAATAGTCTTTCAAGGCCCGCGGAGGAAGGTTGATGAAGGGTTCAAAGTAAGCCTCGTCCTCGCTAGGCGGCGTGTTAGCATGATCCATAGCAATGAAGAGAAAGGGTCACTTACTCAGCTTCTTTCTTGCGAATCATTTCCTCCACAATCTTCTCTTGAGCTGCCTGGAAGTTGAGGCCCTTGTATGGGACGCCCTCGTAATCATAGTCAGGGCGACTAGGCGTGGCATTTCGAGCATGCGATTTGCGAGATGTCACGGCCCTGGACGATGACGATCTACCCGGTCCTCTGCGGCGGATAAGAATAGTTGGCTTGGAGTTCTGGCTTCCCTCGTCATCGTCCTCCTCGCCCTCCGCATCATCATCTTCCTCTCCGTCCTCTTCGTCTGCTTCAGCTTCTTCTCCCTCTTCCTCATCATCTTCCTCAGCATCTTCCTGTTCCTCAGGGGATTCTGCGGCACCCTGTGGCTTCTCAATATCGTCGTCTTCGGCTTCGTCCACGCGGTGGGCGGGCAGAACGGTCGGGACCGCAGTATAGCCGCCTCTAGCATAAGCCGGGTTGGTCTTGGTCATGAAGTTGCTCAGAGCTTTGCGAACTCTCTCAGCGTCGTCAAACTGAGGAGTGCTCCTCGAGTAGTAGTCCTTGGCGTTGGAGACCATGCGCTTAAAATAGCTCTCGAGTTCGGTGAGAGTCGAGAAATCGCCATTCTTGAGCTTTCTTTCGATGATCGAAAGCGAAATCGGCATCCTCGTCTTCTTATAATATTCGGCGTTGCCCTCTCTCGGCATCAGCTTCTCGAAATAGACTGCGACCTTGCGACCACTAGAAGAGTTGGAAGATTAGCACACGCCGCTGCGTCTGATTTGCAGATGACACCACTGCAATCAAAGTCCAAGACACTTCGAGCCGATGCGGAAATCGACTTGAGCTATGCCATAGCTAAGATGAGTAGGTCGGTAGACTCACTTCTTGTCTTGAGTCCGGCGGATCTGCTCGAGGAAGTATAGGCCATGTTCGGTAGTTGACTCGACTGTCTCCCCCTTGCTGAGGTCATATTTCTGCGAGGGAGGAGGAAATGTTAGCTATTTTGTTGAAGAGCCGTAGTGTCTAGGAGTCCAGAGAAGAGAGTGCGCCGCGAGGGTCTAAAAAATCGGGAAACAGCCGGATATGGGCACGATGGAGGGAAGTGCAGGCGAAAGGATGCCCGGGCCAATGTCACTTGTTCCGGTACCAATGGATCGCAAGTCAGATTCCTCGTGAAGCCCTGTGAAGGGCGACACAAGCAGAAAAAGCTTCCGTCGACAGGTGAGGGGTGCATTTTGGGGTTATGAAGCACAATGGGAGCTCACCTCAGTCAGTCTCTGGCGCTTTGCAGCGCGTTCGTCAGCTTCATTCGCGCCATTGACGGCGGATGATCTCCGCTTGTTGTCCATCAAAAAGGTGAGGACAATGGTCGCGGACGCATGCGCTCTTTGCTGAGAAAGTAAGAAAGAGCTGTTTGCTGTATTGTGCCTGCAATGGGTGACGGCAGGTGGTAGCCTTTGGGTGGGTGAGGTGGTGGTGATGCTGCAATTGCGACTGGATTGCAGAGACGCGTCGGGTTGGAGATGGAGACGGAGCGGGTAAGGAAGGCAGGTTCGGGGCAAGGTTGGTGGCAGACAGGGCTGTAGACGGAACCTCGTAAGGTAAGGTACGTAGCGCAGACCGAAGTTTGGAAGGTAGGTACCTTAGTAGGCAGGTCCCCGGAAGTGATGCAGCTCTCCCCACGTTTTTTTCCGTCGGGTTGAGATGGGGGTAGCTTGAGATCTGAGATACCAGAAAAGCCCAGGCACTTGAAGTGGGATTATTTTTTTCTGGCGCGAAGAGCTTTCGCGCGAAGGTGCAGGTGGCAGGTGGTGAGTAGGTAAGTCTTTCAAGGTTGGGGATGCTAGGGGGATTTCCTCTGGTGGGAATTTCGGGGCGGTGGTATTGACCTTTTGCGCTGGCCACTGAACAACAGGAGCACCCAGAAGGAGAAGGTACGAGGACGAGGTACCTCTCTCGGCGACTTCCTGTTACCTTGTGCCTCAGGAACCCAGTACAAGGTGCGTGGGTGCCTTTTTCTCAAGGCGAGTTCCCAGCTCCAGCAAAACTGAATTGACGGGCTGGCGGTGCCGCTGCCAGGTGGCAGGAATAGGACGGGTCCCGTCTACGCCGTTGAGAACTGCAAAAGGGTAAGGTAGGTTGCAAAAAGTTACACCGCCCACAGCATGGACTGTGCTCATTCTCAAATGGAAGTAGGTATCTACCTTAGTCAGTGGAGGGGATCTCTCAAAATTGCAGTGAAATCAGCTGAAGCTGGACCGCATGCACAGCAGCACAGCATCCCGAGTACAAAGTAGATTTAAATGTCTTCCAGGTTATTCGAGGCATGTAAGAATGCAGCACCATAGCACTTGAGTACTTCTTCTAGGCCAGGCCAGACCGGGCCTGGGGCGGAAGTTGCCGGCAAAAACGCCTCGGACCCTGGGGGCCAGCAGATGATGGCAGCGCTGGGGTTCAAAGTACCTCAGTGAAATCCAATCCGACTTTTGTTTACTGCTCCGTATCTTTGCCCACTCTTTGAATAATAACCCCTCGATGCTGCGCGCGCCAGCCTCCCTCGAACATCATATTTCTGACCTCGAGCTCCCTCGTTACTTCCCATCTCCTCCTTCGAGTCAGTGGTGCAGCTGAACCGTTGTTTCAGTGCCAATTCCTGCCTACCCCGCCTGCATCGTTGTTTACCTTTTTTTTTTTCTCTTCCTCCCCTTCCTCTTCCCCTCCGACTTGGCTTTGTGTGTGTGGTCGCCTGACCTGCCGGAAGAACTGGATCTTTCGCGCCCTCAGACTCCTCTTCTGCGCCCGAGAGCATATCGCCAGTCTCCGACAGCTTCGCCCGTCACTGAACCCCTTCGTCCCTCGCAAACGAGCTACCCCGCCGATCGCGTCCGCGGTTACGTGCCGAGACTCGACGCCACTCTCGATCCCACAGACGCACACCCCCATCACAAGATAGACGAACCGCCTCCGCCATGGATATCGACATGAGCCGTCGTAACAAGGTCCCGCGGGCTTTGTCTGATACAGAGAGGGCCCGTTTGGACGAATTCATCGACTCTATCCACTACTCTGCACGGTAGGTTATCGTATTGTTCTCACCCTACCGCGATTCCATTGACCGTTGACTAACTTGCTTGTCTTTTCCCTTCAAGATACTCTGACAGCGAGTACGAGTACCGGCATGTGCAGCTGCCCAAAGCCATGCTCAAGGCCATCCCTAAAGATTACCACGACTCTTCCCACGGAACACTGAAGCTGCTCTGGGAAGAGGAATGGCGAGCGCTCGGCATCACTCAGGTATGCCCCGCGGCCCCCACGAGGCCCCTCTGCGACGCGCAATAGAAGGCTAATGTTGGGAACACAGAGTTTGGGTTGGGAACACTACGAGGTCCACGAGCCTGAGCCGCACATTCTACTCTTCAAGTTGGTATACCCCTCAATCCGGTCAGTTGTGCGTGTTACTCACACCGACCAAAATAGGCGCCCACTCAATTACCAGCCTCCCCAGTGAGAACGGCATAGCGAGAAACGTCTCGTTACCCTGCAATCGCAGTACACATTCCCGCTCCCCGCCCAGCAGACTTCTGCTTGGGCGATGCTCTCAACGACACGAATGACGGCCAATGATGATGGAACTTTTCTCTTTAGATATTCAGGAGAAGAGGTTGAGAGATAATGATACCTCGTCCTTGCAGACCACGGCACACGGTATAAAGACGGCGCATACCACTATGGTTGTTGCATTTTCTTTTAGGTGGTTTGAGTCATTGGGGATCTGTCGGTGTTGGGTTGTTTGCTGCATGTCTTGGAAGTTGAGAAATGGTCTCGTCTGATGAGAGGTCTATTGTCCTGCATCACGGCCATCGTCTATGCCACGCTGCCGCTGTTGTAGCGGACACTCAGTCTCCCCAATCGATGAGACGAAGGTCATCATGGACGAGTGATTGCTTCGTCTGGAAAAGAAGGGGCGGCGTGTCGGTTGTGTAGATGGTCGCTGTTGGCTAGTACCTGCATAGCTGGACCAACGACAGTAATGAACAGAGCTCAGGAACCAGGAGATAGATACTTGAAGCTAATGCAGTGTTACAAGATGCAAATAGTCTCCAAAGAGCATGGGACCTGTGGGTGGTAATTTCGAAGGCATGCACGCAATTTGAGCTTCGACCACCTGTATTTTGAGACATAACAAGATGTCGTCGAGGCACGCGTATGGGCTTGGGTGAATAATCTACGGATCATAACTACGAAATGATGGCACCACTACACTACGATGATTAGTCGAGCTTTTAGACCTCCTAGATCTCGAGCAGTGCTGTATGAGGCTTTCGGATTTACGAGCGCTACCGGTAGGTAATGCAGCAGAGTGCTGTTAAACGCCACTTTGTCAATGCGAGAGTCCGAAGAACGGAAGCATTTTAGCGCTTTTCAGGCATCTGAATGGGAGTACTATCAATCGGTCGACACGTGCAAAGTTGCAGGGAATGAGCGGAGGCCAGGCGTATGACAGAAGCTCCGTGGTCTGCAATCGGCAAGTCGGCGGGATGCACCAAGCCGGAACGAGCTGAATGGCGGCGGCGGCATCCGAGAGACGAGCTGGAACGGCGGCAACTTATTTTGGCGCCAGAGTGGTCCCAATTGGCTCCTACATCTGCTGATTTTCCACCCCAAAGAAGGACACCTTTCAACCAGGCCATGGGGGCTGGAGGTACCCGACACCAGTGAATACCGGACCACCCTCGCTTTCTCAAATTAGCGTTTGGTGCCCCGTAAGAGTTAAGACAGCATGCCGGCATTAGACACTTTGGAGTGAGGTTTAAGGTACGGGAAGCTGGAGTGCGAGGCCCAGACATACCAGGATACTTTGATGTTAGTAGCAGGTCCCAGTGGTCGCATTTCAGGATCAGCCAATCCTCGCCAGATAAAGTAACACGATAATTACCTCGAGGTACGGATACTTTGAGGGACCCCTCAGCTGCATATTAATCAGCTCGGGGGGTGCCATTGCTACTTCCCCGTTTGTTTGCCTTCCTGCCATATTCGTATACAGTTGAGGACAGATTCGCATGACTCTGTAGCCTGCCAGCGTCCTTTGACAGGAAGCGTCTAAAAAGGCCCGACAGTCCCGTTCTTCCAGAACATCCCATTTTACACTAACTCTGTCCTCTCTGCCCTGCTTACATCACCTTCTTGAATTCCTTCATTTCAGTTGCTCCGTCGAGCCAGAAGGAGAAGAGAAAAGCTCAAGGCCCCAGCTCATGACATTGATAGGGAGACAAAGGCGACGCCACTTCTGCCACTTGCATCTCCGGTCTAAGACTTGAGACAAGAAACTGGATCGCCCCCCCATTTTACCTTTCAATTAACCTCCAACGTCCTCGGCCGTTTCTCCGAAACGAACCTCACCGAACCTAAGTCGACCCTGCTTGAGCGCTGCAGCATTTCCATCTCAGCCTACCCAAGTCTCGGATCTGCGCTGCAGAAGCCCGGACACTCGCAACGTTTCAGCCGAACCTTTGGAAACTTGTCAACTTCACCAACGATCTCCGTTAGAGTTGCGCGAGCAATTCACAAGCTGGCAACCGCCTGTTCTTGCTTTGCAGCTGCATATTAAACCCTCCGATCAGCCACCCGTTCCGCGAAGCTGGGAGCTTCGGTTGATCACCATGAAGTCTGCCAGCAGATTATTCTTCCTCTCTGTGTTTGCACTCTGGGGTTCTCCAGTTCAATGCGAGAGCGCACAAGATGATTGTGCGGTATGCCGCCGTTTATTTTCTCCTTCTCTTTCTCTCGAGGGCCTACGTCACCGCCGCAGTGTCTGAGTACCGAATTTCTCTCTCTAACTCGTCGTACCAGATCTCCCCAAAGGCCATTGTTTCCGACGCATGCGCCTCGTACTCTACCCTCGATAAACTAAACACCAAGGTCAAGCCCCTAGTCGACGACCTGACGAGATCGACCGACTTCTTCTCACACTACCGACTGAACCTTTTCCACAAGAAGTGCCCTTTCTGGAACGATGAAAATGGCATGTGCGGCAACATTGCCTGCGCCGTAGAGACCCTCGACAATGAGGAGGACATTCCCGAAGTCTGGAGGGCGAGTGAGCTCGGAAAGCTGGAAGGACCGCTGGCGAAACACCCTCCTCGAAAAGTGCAACACGAGCGCCCCGAGCGGCCGCTACAAGGAAAACTAGGCCTGGAGGTCGGCGAGAGCTGTGTGGTGGAATACGACGACGAGTGCGACGAGCGAGACTACTGCGTCCCCGAAGACGAGAGCGCGAGCTCCAAGGGCGACTACGTGAGCCTCCTCCGTAACCCCGAACGATTCACTGGATACGCTGGCATGGGCGCCGCTCAAGTCTGGGACGCCATCTACCGCGAGAACTGTTTCCAGAAGAGCTCTTTCCCGCACTCAGCGTCTCTGGGACAGTCGCAGATCCCCCACAAGGGCCCCGCGGCACAGGACTTCCGTCAGGTTCTGGAGGCAGTCGGGCGCCAGCAGGCCCTGGATCAGATGCGCGAGACGCAGCCCAATGCTCCGTTTGCAGCCCAGACTGGTCTAGAGGCCGGTGACGAGTGCTTGGAGAAGCGTGTCTTCTATCGTGTCATCTCTGGCATGCACGCGAGCATCAGCACCCACCTCTGTTGGGATTTCCTCAACCAGACCACCGGTGAATGGCAGCCCAACGTGGCATGCTATCGCGGCCGCCTGCACACCCACCCCGAGCGAATTAGCAACCTCTACTTCAACTACGCCCTCGTCACTCGCGCTGTCGCTAAGCTTGGTCCCTTTCTCCAAGGCCGCGACTACACCTTCTGCTCGGGCGATATCGACCAGGATGCCGCGACGCGGTCCAAGGTCCTCGAGGTCACCGAAGGAGCGGCGAGCGTGCCTCAGATCTTTGACGAGAGCCTCATGTTTAAGAACGGTGAGGGTCCGTCGCTGAAGGAGGACTTCCGCAACCGCTTCCGCAACGTCAGCCGCGTCATGGACTGCGTTGGCTGCGATAAGTGCCGCCTCTGGGGCAAGCTGCAGACCAATGGCTACGGAACCGCACTCAAAGTCCTGTTCGAGTTCGACAATGCCAGCGAGGATATTCCCGTCCTGAAGCGCACCGAGCTGGTGGCGTTGTTCAACACGTATGCCCGGATCAGCAGCTCCCTCGCGGCAATTAACAAATTCCGCGCGATGGTTGATTCCGAGGAGGCCCTCGCCGCTGCTGCGGCAGCCAAGGCGTCCAGCCCGATCCCCGACCGGGCCAAGAAGCCGCACAACGTGGTGACTTCACCAGACGCCGAGCCCAAGAAGGTCGATCCCGATGATGAGTACGGCGAGGATGAGCCTCTCCAGGAAGACACCCTGGCGGACATGTTTGACGAAGAGTTTGGCCGCATTTTCAAGGCCTTCAAGTTTGTCGTCCGCCGATGGGTTCAGGCTCCCAAGACTATGTAAGTTTGAAAATATCACCACAGAGAAAAAACGGTGGGGAACGGAAGACTAACAGCTCTCAAACAGCTTCAATGTTGTTCTTTTCGAGATACTGCGATTCTACCAGTACTTTGTCGGCCTGCCCCTAACACCTAGAACTTGGCACTTTGAGCGGCCGGACGTAGACGAATTGTAGACGAGTCGTAGATTGGTCGGTTGCTCCATTGTCTAGTTTTCGTTGTTGAACATCTCAGCATGGCATATCATTATACTTTGCATGGCCGGGCGGTGGCAAAAGGCGTTTTTTATTCATATTCTTACGGAGCTAGAATGCTCCATAGACTAGTATCGTGACCAGTCTGTACATATAAATCGATGCAAGCACCCCAAAAATCGGCTTCCGTTTCCTGGGATCATACAAATGTTTATGGATCCTTTACTCGTACACGCCGTCTTCGGTGATACTGTTCCTTCTCTTCTTGGACGAGTTATTTAGAGGGATGTGAGTGACAACATTGCCAATCTTGGCCTTGACACCCGAAACATCAATTTGCCACCTCCGAATGCCACGGAACCGCGGCGTCTTCAGCAGGCCATAGGTGCGCAGACACTCGTCTTCTCCGGGAAGGCCGAATGCCCAGCCGATGCTCACGTGGAACGCGTCGTCGACCAGCTCCGTCGCGTGGGCTTGGTACAAGGGCGGATGGTCGAAACGGACGGCGACACCGTTACATTTGTTGAGAAGCGTACGGAGCTGCGGGTTGCTGCCGGTGGTGCTGGTGTCACTTTGCGAGGAGGCGGCCGGGCATGCTACGCGGAGTACGAGAAAGGCCCGGTCCGAGTCTGGCGATTTGAAGAAGCCCAGGCCACGGGGCGATAGACTGAACTCGCCGGTAGCGGAGGACAAAGAAGACGTCAAGGCGGAGAGAAATGCGTCCTTTTGAGTCGTGGTGAGGGACAGAGGCCGCGAGAGCGAGATGTGGAGTGGCAGGGGGGCTTTGAGATCCGAAGTTAGAAGCGAGGTCAGCTCCCGCGTGCCAAGCAGAGGCGCGATTTCATCCAGCAGGGCAGTGAGGAGAGAATGCTGGTCCGCAGAGGGGTGCCCTTCATGTAGAGATTAGTTGGGATGATTTCAGGCGGGTGTGGCAACGAGAGAATGGAATGGTTGAGACTCACACTCGACGTATACGTGAGAAGGCCAGTTGCCGACAATATGGGGGATGGTCCTCTTTCGGCCCTGGTGCAGGGCTGGGTTGTCGGCAGTGGCATTCCGGACCGTAGAAGCGTACAGGTCGTGGAACTCGGCCGGGAGGGGCGGAAGCGTCAATGTGCCGGCATTTGTCTCCTTCGTGGTCGACGAGGCGGGGGGGTTGTGCCGCGTTCCTTTCTGACCGCCGGCGCCAGTGCCAAGTGCAGGTCCGGCGAGCACGGAGCCATTGGTATCCTCTTTGCGCCGCTTGGCCGGAGGTGACCCGGCCTCTGAAGCTGAGTCAGAAGACGAGTAGTCCACCAGAGCCATTGCCGGGTGCCAGGGACCGACAAGAAGAAGGCCGGAGAGAAGATCCTTGTGATACGTGTTTCTGCGTCAGTAACGAGGTAATCGAGCCAATAGGCATTGAGCAAGTCTTGATCCAACACCTCGTCGCCTGAAAGCGTCTAATGGTGATTGGGAAAGGTGGCACTACAGGACGAAGGCATTTGGTGCCCGTAAGTGGAAGAGGGTGAAGCGGGCACCGGTCGCAGCGGGCTGCCTGTGTTGAGAAGCACAATGCGGTCGAAGCTTTGTTGCAAGATCTCGATCGAGGTGCGCCGAGGCACGCAACGCAGAGCAACGCCTTTCCACCCACTGGTACCGGGCATCCGGGCTACCGAAAGGCTTTTCTTGCCTTACAATATGTTCACGATTTCGGGAGGCTCCTCTAGCACATTATCTGACTATACTTTGATCGCAAGTCTGTCACTGCCATGAATTCGGCATAAGGTTGCGCAAATGAGAGCCCCATTTCTCGGTTTTTCTTTTGGCCTGTAAGGAAATGCCGATGACCGTAATTTTAAGCTCATTGCCCTTAGTTGCTGGCGGTGAAGGCCGTGCCCGGTTGGGCGACGTGTTCCCTCCAGGTATCGCGAGCAAGCATTGCCCTGACAAGAGGGGCGATGGAACGTGGACCGGACCCTTCCCGTATGCCCCCGTTATGCGGTCTGAGTATGCCGCGAGTTCCTTGCGTGTTGAGTGCTTACAAAGTGGAAGCAGCGGAGGCGGATGGAGCGTACGTGGACGCTTCGGCCACGGAGGCTCCGTTGCATCACCGTTCCTTTGTTCATACTGGGTGCCGGTGTCGGTCCCGTTTACGTCCAAATGTCCGCGCAGTCCGACTCTATTTTTGCGCAGCACTACTAAGACTAAGTCTGATTAGTTTTCGTGATTTTGCGGCTGCCACATCAGCCCTGCGACATTTGCGGGATACCAGGAAGCTAAAGGATACATACGTAGTAATGTACTCGGTACACTACAGAGTAGAAGCTAGGTGGATTGGTGGAAAGGTGAAGTGGGATGTTGCGGTTGCCGATCCCCTGACTAGAGGATTTTTTTTACTTTTCCAATGGCATGACGTAGGGCTCAGTAACCAATGCGATGTCCGACTATTGTGCAGTAGACGTTGTTCAAGGGTCCGCGTGTCCCGTTATCGGGTGCCTGTGGCTGAGCTAAGTCAATTTAGCGGGCAAATGTTTCGTTTCTTCTCGTGTCTTGCCCTACCTATTCGCGGTCCCTCGAGGATGCCGTTGCAAGACCCTGCAGGGATCGTGACAGTCTGAGCGGAGCCGCTGAGGGGAAGAGGAGAAGATGGAACCGCACGTGAGAGATGTCGGAGAGGCTGGGGGGACAGTAGTGGTTCGGCGCCAATCTCGTGATGCTGGATCAAGGGAGACTTGCGAAGTTCTGATCAGCGAACATGTTAAGGAGAAGTCAGCGATGGGTGCTGACATTCTTTCTTCAACCTGTTCAGGAAGGAAGGCAAGATAATGCAAGGTACGGCAGCAGGTATCGTACGAGGGAGAGCCTCCAATCAGTTGGTCCTATTATCCTGGACAGTGACTTTCCGTCCTTTGAGAAAATTGCCCAACACTGCAAATGGAAGGCACCCTCGGACAGTAAGGTAAGATGGGTAGCAGGTTCCCCGCCGTGTCGCGTACTTGCCCACACCATTCAGTCATGCGGTCTCGGTCCAGTCCCTTTCTTTCCCCTCCATCCCTTCCCCTCCTTCCCACCAGACATGAAAGTTCCCAAGTCCAGGTCCTTGTCACTGCAGCCACAAATCACAAAAAACACCACAAACGAGGTTGCTACCTTATGCAGTAAGGCATGTAGTGAGTGTTCAGGTCACCAATGGAAAGCTCGGCTGCCCCGGTCAGCGCAGGTCCCATGATGGTCACTTCCTATGCTGGCATCTTCCCGGAAGTCCAAGCAACAAGCGCAGAATTCTCTGTGCTTGCTGCATTCGCACACTGAACACGCTCACTTACTCACACTCACCTACACTTACTTTACCTTGCTGTGTACATCATAGGGTACGGATACTTTGTAGTCTCACTCACATGCAGCCGACCTGCCCTACAAGGACGGGGTCTAGTGTACAAGTCCATGGTAGGAACGGGCCTGGACTGGCTGTGCCTGTCGTCGGCATCTCGCCCACCCTCATGCTCATGACTCTATTGCCCCTCGCCTGGCAAGCACCTTACTTCTTTCCCACCAAGCGGAACAACGGACGACGCTGGAAACTATCAAAAGGGCACCCGCGCCTACTTTGGTGCGACCCAGGATTCCACGTTCTCTCAACTCTCGTCTCTTGTCTGCATTGCATTGCTTCGCTCTGCATCTCGCATGCTTCTTTTTTGACACAACACCTCAACTGTCCCACTACCATCAGCAGACTCACCTTCGGTGTGTCGCATACACCGCCCACACCGAGATCACTTCATTGTCTTGGCAAAGGACGGACTCGCTTTCGGATCATTCGAAATAAACATCGCAATCTCCAGTAAACGAGCTGCCGACCTATTTTGAGGCTCCCGCTAGACCACTTGCTCATCTCTATCCCTACCTTGACTCCGTCTTCGCGACTTCGCCTGTGCACCGGGTAACCCGATTACCTCACCGTAAGGATACACACACCCGTTCACCGGTATCGTCGCATCGACGTCAGTAGCCATGGACGGATCCGACAAGCAGTGGGTAAGTCAATGGCCTGGCCAAACTCCAATTCACTTCCATCTACCCCAGCGCAGCGCGCACTATTGCAAGTGCCAGTTGCTGCTGTTGTCAATATGATCTTTTTGCTCATTTCCCGATTGCGCGCTACTGCCAACATCGTCATCGCCCACGGTTCTTTTTCTGCTCTCGCTTTTCTCCACATTTCCGATCCCGTCACCGTCGCATCTGTGGCCTTATCATTGCCCTTCTAGCCTGTCTCCCAACGTTCCAAATTCCGTCACTCCCGGGTACCCAAGCAAGTCTCGACCCAACCAGTCACCTTGTTCAAGTGTCGTCAGCCTTGGTCGAAGCCGATCGTCCCGTCTCGCCCATCCTTTCTATCCTGTCAGGGCACCCGACGGCCCCAGCTGCTTGCGCCCGAACTTGTTCTTCAAAGCCACCCTCTCCGTCCAAGCTACCCCTGCCAACTTAGATGTGCTGTCGCTAAGGTACGGACGGGTCCCCTGCAATGCACGGCTCAAGCCACCCCGACCACGCTGCTTTGGAGTCCCTTCTTGCGTCACTGCCCATCCAATCTGCCGGATTTCCAAGAACAGCTCCGAACTCTGCCTCACATCATTCGTACTGCAGCTAAGCCCTTGACGACGTAAATAATACGGGTCCCTCCACATAAGCATGCGCGGCCTCTGGTTGCTCTTATACTTCTTATCTCCTCATGTTACTTAACCTTGACTCATATTTGTTCTACCATTCCACACTCAACTCATCAATTAACTCAACTCTTGTAGGCTAAAGCATACTTGCTCGACCCTCTTACTGCTCCCGAACCAAGCCAAGAAACAGGTCCCGGAAGCTCTTTCATAAACCCCGATCCACTGCTTCGAACTTTCTCGCAGAAGAAGAAAGGCAAAGAACCAGTTCAGAATAGCGACAAGAGCCAGACCAGCCATAAAGCTCATAGCCGTACCTCATCGTATCCCACTCCGCCTGCATCCGCAAGCCCAACTCGATCCAGCTTTCACTCATCCAACCCGTTTTCACCGACTTATCAGCGCGCTTCAGTGTCCGTGTCTAGAGGACCTGCTTCTCCAACATCGCCTTCTTCACCGGGCCATCCCTTAGGCCGCAGTACCAGCGTTCGAAGCAACGGTCTCCGAAGCCCGTCTTCGCCGAGCAACCGCTTTCCACCAAGCACAAGTGTCACTCGAAGCATCAGCGCACGCACTCGCTCTAACGCTGAGGCAAACGGCACCCAAGCCGATTCTTCAGTTCAGCGCAGCAAGAGCGTGAACTCACACCAAGGCTCCAGCGGTCTTAGACGTTCCGGTTCCATCAACCAGAGATTTCCCGGCGATATGTCTCATCGACCTCTAGACATGATCAAGCGCGAGCAGCGCGCCGCGGACCGCGCGCCTCACCTTAGAACGCGCAAATATGGCCCCGTGACGGACACCATTGACTCGCTCGACAGTATCGGCGGCGTCTACCATCACGGCGGTCCCTATGATGCCACTTTGGCATCCCGCAACCGCAACAAGAAGTATGCGCCTGTTGAGGCTGTGAGGGAGTCCAACATGGAGGCCTTGAGGGCTACGCCTCGCGAATACATTCAGGATTCCCTGGACAAGCATGTGCCGTTGCAAGGTACCGGCCTTATTCCCGCCGGTGGCACTGACATGAGCGGCAATGTTATGAACTATGAGGAAGGAGCCGATCTCATGCGTGAGCCCAATAACCAAGGCGGCGCTTACAAGAGATGGGATGGAATCGTAAGTCGACACCGGCCCTGGAAATTTGCAACGCGATTTGGAGACTAACGAAAGACAGCAATATCACCCTGATGATTTGAAGGGAAAGGGAGAGCCTTCCTACACCTACGAGAGAGACCTTAAGGAGAAGAAGCGCATGCGTAAGGCTTCTCTCGGCAACAGCCCCGCAGAATACGAGATGCGCTCCGGCATCAACGCTCAGTCACGTAAGGATAACGGGGCAATGGTACGTCAGCGCAGTGTCAGCAATGCTGCAGACGGAAGACCCGGCCCCTCCGAATTGCCTAAGGGACATTCCAACAGCGCCGACGTCCATCGCCACAACAGCACCGGCAAGCATTTCGGCGACAGCCTGAAGCGTCGTTTCGGCAGCATACGTCGCAAGAACCACGCTGCGGCGTAGATGTCTTTTGCGAAGACGGTTCGATTGTTTTCTATATGGCGTTGAGACTTAATGATTTAACAAACGCCGCCTTTCACCAGCATTTCAATTAGTGTCGCTTATTGCGGCAAGTGTACGATTTAGAGGTCCGGTACCCGAAGGAGGATGCCTCGTGGCGGGAAAATTGTTAGAGCGAAGACAGAGTGCGCAGTGTGCATTTGTCTGTCAATGAGCAAAGGCGTTGATGGAGACGAGCTGGCGTCAACATTATGCCAAACAGCAAGAGCCTGCAAATTATATACCGCATCACCAAAAGAAACGGGAATTTTCTTAGTTTAAGTAAATAGTATACCCATCAGTATGAATATTTTCTACATCTTCTATACCATGTGCGTCAATAATCGTCCCACATCCTAATATACTCGCTGTGATGGCATTATTTCACAAAGTCTTTGTCAATCACAAAAATGACGCCTTAGAATAGAGGATACTACACGAGCGCTACGCTTTGCTCTATCTCGGATGTTTGCTTATCCCCAGTAAGAGAACGCTGCCAGAAGACCAGAAACCCCATCAGCAGCTAGCTCCCTGTCTTGCTTTTCGTTCTCGACCCCCCGTTCTGTTCTCTCAAACATTCGCCAAAATTCCAGATTCTCACCTCATTTTTAGATCTATCTAAAAGAATGGCTGAAAATTTTCTGCTTCTTTAAAAGTAGGCCATGCCGCTCCATCCCAAGACACCTTCCAACTCGCCCCTGACCTCGAGGACGTCACCGTAGCCGCCCTTTCCGGCGACTTCGAACCGGCGCCCGGCGCCGAGCTCGTTCCAGCGGGCGAGGAGCGCGCCGTCGACGATGCTGCGGCCCGCGCTGGTGTCGACGCCGGGCGTGCGCGCGTCGAGGGGCTGTAGGCGGTGGGCTTTGGGGTTCGTCGCCGCGGCCTGGGGCACGGCGCCGGCGATGCTGTTGGCGAGGGACGTCAGGCGGCGGTAGGCTTGTTCCCCGAGGGGATTGAGCGAGGCGAGGGCGCCCGTCGGGGAGGCCAGGAGGAGGGTCGTTGGCGGGTTCTTGGAGGCGTTGGCGGGTGACGGGGATGCTGAGGTTCGGGGGAGGGAGAGGGCTGCTGTTGGGTGGTTTGGTGCCGCAGAGAAGGAAGCACGGTTTAAGAGGAGATGACCCTGGAGTGATTTAGGATCTGTAAGAAGTGTCAGTTTTCTGAGACCTTGGACGGCTGGATAGTGCTCAAGAGTTGGACTTACGCTCTGGATCGAATTGCATCACGTGAATTACACCGTCCTTGTCGCAGACGACAATGTGCAGCTCGTCGCCGGCAACAACAAAGTCGGCCGTCGAGACCTCGAACTTGCCCGCGCTCTTGCCAAAGAGCATCATCTTGTATGGCTCCTCGGCGTACCCGACGAACCAGACACCCTTGAAAGCGTCCGTCATGAGACAGTAACCCGTGCCGCGGACCTCGCGGACCGCGGTTACGTAGCAGTTCATGTCCATGAAGGCGACGGGCAGTAGTGTGCCGTCCTCCTTAAGACCGCGCACCATGCACTTTTGTCCCTGGGCGACGAGCATGAGCCCTTGGGAACCGACCTCGCAGATAGCGGTGACGGCGCCGCGAGGGATTTCCTCCTTGGCAACGAGCTTGAGCTTCTTGTTCGTCTCCGGGCGTCCAGGTTGCGGGACGACGGGGACGACGTCGTAAACGAGGATACGGCCGCGGATGGGCAGGTCCTCGCCGCGGTTAATAGCGGTACCGATGGTGATGAGCATACGACGCTCCTTGGTCTCTTCAGAGACTTCCAAGTGAAGCGTCTTCATACACATCGCTACCTCGTGCTGCTCGAGCTCTACCGTGTCGATGACAGACCAGGTGGTAGGACTCATGAGCTTGATGATGCCGCGTTCGGTCCGGGGGTATATGGTTGTGGTCTCCTTAGCCCACTCCTTGTGGTAGTCGTCATCCTTCGGCAGCTCAAAGGCCTCGGAGACACTGCACGCAACGGCGTAGGTTTCCATTGGTGGATGATAGGCAATCAGGCCAACCGCATCTCCCACGGGAATTTTGCGCACAGAAACGCCCAGTTCGGCAAAGTTCGCGTCCGTGGGAAGCTGTGTAACTCGCGTTTGGCCCTCGGAATCAGCGTAAATGAAGCCACGCTCACAGCCTTCTGTATGGAATGAGCTCATGCCACGCACACCAATACCCTGCAAGCCGACAACCTTCGGACTGCTCTTGGCGGATTTGATGATGAAGGACGGCGAGGCGCCAGGCAAGAAGACGGTGCTGTAACCGCTGATGTCACTGCAAGCCCGAAGTGGGACAAACCGCGGTTGCTCGTTGGCGTCGTCATCGGCAACTTCGACAGGACTCTTGGCAAGAGAAGGATTGTTGACTTTGCGGAAATGAAGAGTCTTGGCCAGACCAACGGATTCGTCTTGTTTTGTGAGACGAATCGGTTCGTATATAGTAAGATCGTCATTTGCATGACGAAGCTTTTGCGACAAATGATTAGCAGAAGCTACCATCTCCTTCGATGCTAGAAGACTTACGATGAGGTGTGGTGAAGTCGCGGTAGCGTCCCCAAGGTCGGCCATCAAGATTTCAGTCAGCGTCTCTTGGACGGTGCCTCGTCGGACGGCATAGTCTGCAGAGAGGAAAGGGGGGACGTAGGTCAAGCCAGCAGCAACGTAGACTGGCTTGGAAAGGTCAGGGAGAGCGTATATCTGTCAATAGGTTAGCAAAACGTGTCCCAGCTGGATGATGCTTGATACTCACATAGAGAGCCCCTGCCGCGCTCAGCAAAAACATAAAAATGTGGTGGTCTCCTGTCGCGGCCTCATTTTTTGTCCTTTGGCCAAAGAGATCGTGGGTGTCCTTGTACAGGCATCCGGCAAGCCACTTCGTAGAGAGAATTGTGTCGTCTTCTCTTTCCATCTCCTCCAACTCACAATTGCTGTCTATCTGAGCCACCATAATGCTCGAGTCGTCCCGTATGAGAAGAAGGTAAGGGTCAACGATGCTGGCGCTGATCACCCGGGGCTCAGCACCGGTATCCTCATCGAGCATTGGAAGGATTTGACTCAGCCCGAGATCTGATTAACGTTTAGCGACGATGGCGAAACTTCAGACAGAGTGCAACACAACTTACCTCCATCGTAGCACCGTACTTCCGATTTGAGAACCTGAATGATCCTCAGATGTTTTCCCATAGTACCCGCCTCCACGGTGAAGCCAGCCGCGGGATCAAATTCGGTCCCTGACAACGCCTCGAAGCCTGCACCAGTAAGAGCATAAACGTCTGACGTCTCGTATCCATCTAGATCGACCTTGGAAACAATCATAAACTTGTCGTATATAGATGAAGCGTCAAACTCGCTGCCCACTGCGGCATTGGCCCCCTTATCGCCTTGCAAGGATTTCGGAATGGGTTTCTGGACGCACATGGTCCAGAATCCTCTAGCCTCTGGAAACTCGAATTTGCCGATGACCTTCGGCTGGATGTTCTGATTCATGATAGCAACAGCGCCAGCAATGCCCTTACCCACCGCACAGGCGAGCTGCAGATCAGATACGACACCAAATGAGTTCTTCTCCTCCTCGCTATCTGGGACGAACGCTTGCTTGCCTGATACCATATCCTTGATAGGCGCTATGCTCAGCAAGGAATCATGGATGCGGAAACTCAAGTCTCCTCCTTTAGAAACCCCATTGGCAGTCGCACCGTGTTGAATCGGTGTTGTCGTCGTTTCACCGTACAGATCGTCGTCGTCGTCATCATCCATATCCTCATCGTCCAGGTCGTACTCGAATGAATCGTCGACCAACCGTGTTTTTTTGCGTGCATTCTGCGCCTGCTTTCGTGTCCAGCCGAGAACAAGTGAGTCACTTCCCGTAGTACCTAGGAAGAAGACATTCTTGCTGAGCTTCGAGATGGAGGAAACACTGCATTGAACAACATTGCCGCCAACTTCGACTGGGACGAGCTTAACGCTGACCCCTGAGACTGTGCGTCCATCGATCTTGAAGGTGATGATGGCCAGTCGCCCGTCGCTTAGGACCATGAGCAACTCCCCATTCTCTGCAGACATGAGTTCAATGTAGCAATTCTCGAGCCGCAAATCCAGATCGGACTGATCTGCAAGAGGGAAGTTTGTGGTTTCCTTTGTGAAAGCATTGACAGCCACACCATTCGGCTAGCCCCAGCTCCCGCGCAACTTACGCAGATTAGGAGATTTGCCTGCGGAAGTCCCACTGAACACTGAACGGATACAGACTTGAAGCTTCTCTGAAGCTTCGCTGAACCATAGTGACGTTGTTGGATTCGGGTTTGCTGCAAGTCGAGCGTGAAGACCTTGTAAGAGAAGTGGTCCTTGCGAGGTAAGGTGTGGGAGCGGCGCTGTGTCGAGGATATGATGCCAAAGGTGGGCTCTCTGTACTCATGCAAGAAGGCGAGGTGCACAGGATGAAGGAGACTGGGATCAAGCTGTGGTAGAGGGAGGACGTATGATGTTGAGTGTGGTACATCTGCTATGTTGCTAGTTCCATTTGTGGCCGCTGCAGCTGACGGCTCTTTTGCCGGCCGAGGTCCATCCACATCTTCATCCCAGTCATCCATATCTATGTCCTCATCGACTTGCTTGAAGGGTAGAAAGGCGATGTATCTGGGGCCAAACCTGAGAGCGGCGCATCGCGAACCTGGATCGGCAGCAAGATATGTGCGGTAATTGTTCAATGGACCATCGAACGGCGACCCTTCTAATTCTTCTTTCTCGTAGTAGTGAATGGAGATATCCTCGAGTGCGTGTTTCTCAGGATCCCACTGGACCAAGCTCAGCCTGGCAACTCTTGTAGCAATCAGGAGAGCTTCACCCCCTGACTTGGAGTGTTGCAATTTTATTCTTGCCAGTCCCGTCACAATGCCAAAGATTGGGAATTCGGCGACAAGCACGAGCTTGGTGTTGTTTGATCGGTCGGCGCGAACCAGCATGCCGTCGCCGCCCAGGAAGGAGGACTCGAGGCCGTCATCGTCGTTCAATCGGCGGTCGTAAGGTTCTTCGGCTCTCGAAGCCTGCTGCTCTCGGGTCTGCGATGTGTCGACTTCGGAGGAAATGGTCTTTGTCGAGAAGATCTGCAGTAAAGAGCCCTTTGCGACGACCAGATTATTGCTTTGCGCCGAGATGAAGGGCAAGCTGAGACTGTACTGCACACCAGTGGGTGGCGTGAGCTCTGTATAGCACTGCATATTGACAGTCTCAGTCAATTGCCTCCAGGATCCTTGCTGTCATTAGTGTATAAGGGCGATGTATAGGATCGTAGACTTGCAGAAGCGCAAGGCAGGAGGTTGTCTGTCGCAAATCAATTGAACAATAAGATAGCTCCCGTCCTTCCAAGAGCTCTGGTCGCGCAAAAGCCCATGAAAGCGTGTCACGCATTCTGATTGGTGAGATCTGGGCAGGCGGATCAAAGAAAGAGCCGAAGCTCCGGGGCGTCCAATATTGCTTGTGTAGGTAGGTGCTGCCGCAGGCCTACAGCGATCTAGACTTCAGCACTTGCAGCATTCAGCAGCCCCCGTGGCCCCTATCAGCAGTGTGACGCTCAGGTGCAGCACACTAAGGCAGGCAGGCAGGCTACCTAGGTACCTTCCTGCCTACCTTCGAGATTGACTGGGAGCTGGGGCCTCGCTAAACCTGTCGCCACGGCAGGAGCTAGCAGCTCAGGCAACTCTGCTGCCCGTGTTACGTCACCCGGCGCAACCTCTACTGAGGCATGCTAAGCTAGAGCTCCCCAAGCACCGAGGAATTGAGCAGTGAAACAATGACGATGCCCACAGCTCTGCGCCAGCTTTATTGATTCTTCAGAAAACATCAACAAAGGTCTAAGGTCCAAAGAATCGCCATCGAACGCTACAGCCATACGGCCAAACCACGATTCATCATGGCCAACGCAGGCCTGCTCCAGACCAGTCTCATCTGGGTGGCCTACGCCGCCGCAGTCGTCTTCTGCCTCCTGGCTGCCATCATTACCACCTTCACCTGGCAGACGCCCCGGGAGCGATCCGCTATAGTCAGCATCGTCGCTATTGTCAGTCTGACAGCCCTCCTGGCAACCGTTCTTCTGCTGCCTGTCGATATCGCTCTCATCTCATCCACAACACACGCATCGCTTGGCGTGAAGAAGGACTGGGCTACCGAGGCGCGAGTTCACGACATCCTTCAGACACTGCGCATCGTCTACTATTCCCTCTATAGCTTCGATGCTCTGCTGTGTCTCTTGATCATCCCGTTCGCCTACTTCTGGCATGAGGAATACGATGAGATCGAAGTCGAGGAAGGTCGGTCATTCGGCAGCCGCCTCATCAGCGCGCTGAAGTACACACTCGTCTTCGTTATTCTGGTCCTGATCCTTTTCTTGGTCGGCTTCTTCGTACCGGCAGCTGGTGATCACAACGGTGCTCACTGGGACCTGGATTACTTCAAGCGCATCTTGGTCCAGAATAACGGCCAAAAGGCGCTTGCCTTTGCTCTTGGACTCCTCGTCACCCTCGGAATTCTGCTGTATGTTATCTACACAGCAGCTGGACTGGCCCTGCTTCCCATGTCCTTCATCAAGTCTGCGCCGTCAATTTCTGCGCCCCAACTTACTGAGAGCACCGCAACCGCTTTGGAACAGAACCGTGAGCGCCAGCGCCAGCTTGAAATGCGCAATGCCGGTCGTCCTGAGGGTATGTCGTCCAAGGACAGGCGTGAACTTGAGGCACTGGTTCGCGAGGAGCGCACCTTGACGCGTCGCGAGAGGCTAGCAGCCGAGGCCTCCGGAGAAGGTCGCAGCACCATTTACAGATTTTGGCTCAAGGTCTGCGCCGTCTTCCGACCCATCAAGCTTCTCGGCGGTATCCTACTGCTCTTGCTTTCCGTTCTGATCTGGGTTTCCATGTTGATCACGGGTATCGACAAGGCAAAGAACTCCTTCTGCAAGGGCAAGTGCGGATATATCCTGGGTCACATCAACATTTTCCAGCCCATCAACTGGATCTTCATTCAGTCTGCCAAGGCCTTCCCGATTGACTACGTCTTGATGGCCCTCCTGGTCCTCTTCTTCTTCAGCAGTTCAATCACGGGCATCGCCACCATCGGCATCCGATTCTTGTGGGTTCGCATCTTCCAGATCCGCAAGGGACGTACTGCGCCGCAAGCCCTCCTCATTGCGACAGTCATGCTAGCTCTGATTATCCTTGCCATCAACTACACTATCGCAAACATGGTTGCTCCCCAGTACTCCATGTACGGCACTCAGACATACTGCACAGCTCCTCACCACGCTGGTGAGACTCCCGATTGCAAGGACAGACCGGATTATATGGTACAGTGCTCTGAAGCGCTGGATCCCGAGGCCCTTAAGGTCTGCACGCCTTCCATCATGGCCGAGTTCCTCAACCGCATCGCAATCACGTGGCCCTTCTTCGGCCTGGTAGACTTCTGGGCCCAATTTGTCTTCCTCGGTATCTTCCTCATTATTTTCGTTACTGGACTCTTCCGCGCCCCTAAGCTCAACGTTTCCGAGGTTGACGAGGACGCCGAGGAGGACGAAGAGGAGGGATTGCTGGCAAGCACCGGTCGCAGGTTCGGAGCAACGTGGCAGGATATCACGGGACGCACGAAGAAGACCAGTTATGGTACGCAGGAGGGAAACAACGGTGCCGGGTCCTCCGAGGCCTAGTTGAGTCGTAGGAATACGATTGATAACAGAAGTATTGTGCCGAGCATATACGGAAAGGGTTGTAAAATAAGCACATTGCATATCATCGACGGTATGGGAAGCGTGGAATTTTGTATTGAAACATGGGTCAAGGCACACACACGACGGCAGGAAGGGAACGGGCTGGGTCGGTAGTCTTTTATTTTTCCTTTAAGCGACACAGAATGCAGAAACATTGTTTACACGTTCTCCTCATGACGCTCCCAACATAACCCGTCTTTCGCTATCCTTGCCCGGCTTGACAAACCGGACAGCTTTGTGCGTCCGGTCATCAAAGGCCGCGGCCGGGCCGACGTGCATCTCGTGCCAGCACCTGGTGCAGTAGACGTCCTCGCAGCCCAAGCACTGCAGCGTGCCATCCTCCAGACAGACCGTACACCACGTCGCGGCATCCTCGTCGGTGTAGCCCGTCTTGGACGTCAGCCGCTTCTGTTTCACGGAGCGGTCTGCGGGCTGGAAGGTCGGTACGGAGGGTAGACCCATGCCGCCGCTGCCGCCGTCTGACGAGGGTCCCCCGAGACCGCTGAGCGCTGCCATGCGGGCCGCGATGTCGTTGTCAAAGTCCGATGCGGCGTCGTGCTTGGGAGCGCTGGATGGGACGGAGGGAAGTCCTAGGTCGGGGAGGCCGCTGGCCCCGCCGCCTTGGGCTTCATCGTCTGCCTTGAGGGCTGCGATGGTCAAAGGTACCGAGGGGAGGGAGAGCTCCGTGCCTCCATCACCTCCACCTTGATGATCTGCTTTCTGCAAGGTATCTTCGCCCTCATCGCCCGACGTTGGCGGAATGGGCTCACGCCGAGAGTTATACTTCGCCTCCTCCAAAGCCTGTGAGAGCAGGTCATTCACCTCACGGCCCATTTCCCCGCCATCCGAGTCGTCATCATCATCATCGGAGTGGTCCTGCTCATTGCCCCGGGATGGGTCCACCGAAGTCTTCGAGAGCTCTTCTAGAAGGGCGTTCACCTTGGCGGACTCATCTTTGGGGTCGGATTGCCACTGCTGCGGCGCACCACCAAAGTCCTCATCGCTGAGCAGATCCTCGAGGGTCTGGTCATCTGTTTGAAGGAGGGGATCGACGTCATCATCCCCCGCTTCTACCGTCGGAGCCGCCGGAGCCGGAGCGATGGTGGACGACAGCGCGGGCGATCTCGACGACTGATGCTGCTGCTGCGGCTGGGACTGGGGCGGTGCTGCTGCCTGTGGTCCGCCCGTGTGGGACCATGCCCGAGATGGGGACGCCGGAGACTGCTGACCGAGACGAGAGCTCGCTGGTGTGGTGACCTTTGCGGACTGCTGGGGCGGTTCCTCGCGCTCGGGTGTGTTTCTCAGAGACCTCAACCGAGCGGCCAGTGCATCCTCCCTCGAGGGCGGCTTTGCTGGCTCGATGCCCGTGAGGGAGACATTCAGGGCACTTGTGATAGAAAACCTTAGCAAATTGGTGGTCCCGAAGATGCCGGTGGTCTTTTCTTCTTATTTACTTTGATGACCTGTCCAATGACACTCCGGGACTGCCGCCTTTCAGCGCGTTCAGGCGGTCCAGCAGACTCTTGTCGGGGCTGCTCATGTTCAAGGCCTTTTCTGGTCTCCTTTGGACCTTTGACCGAGACCGAAGAGGTAGGTAGGACGCGGGTATAAGGGTAATCAGAAAGATGACTTTGGTCAGACAAATCGAATCAGAGTAGACGAGACCCCGCACATCGGTGTGATGGGTTGAATCGAATGAGCTTGTATTGATGCGAGGGGGTTGAGGTGTCCGCCCGATTGTGGAGGCAACAACACTATGCAGGAAGCACGAGGTCTGAAAGGTTCGAGAAAAGTGGCGCAAGGCAACCCGCGAGGCATCCAGGGACGAGAGAATCAATGCTGAAGAATATGGGGCCAAAAGTTCCACCTCAGTGTTGTCTCTGGGGTATCAAGGTCTGGCACTGATAGGCTAATTGATTGTACAGCTCGTACCAGTATGACCAGTATGACCAGTATGACCAGTATGACCAGTATGACCAGTATGACCTTAATGCAACAGGGCCGGTGAGCAAGTCAGATCATGGGGGTGAGAGTGAGAGGGTACGATTGCCCGTGATGAGACCTCGTCCCAATAGCAGGCACGTTGGCACAGTGAGTGACGAAACTGAGATGAGAGGCGAGCAAGTGCGAGCTGTCCGCTCCGCCAACTGGGCGGGCGGAATGTGATGGATGCACTGCATGCACAGCCTCAACCTATGGGAGTCATTGCTGAACGTGACAACCACAGCATCAAATAAGCTTGAATAAGCGAGATGGGTGGGAACATGGTCATCACTAGACTCTTATTAGGCAGAAACTTGTGCTGTGGCGGGCGGATGGCTGTGTGCCAAGGTACCTTTCAAGCTTGCTCTTTGGGTCAGCAAGTCCCTAAGCTAGTCCTATCAGCATCGCCCGACTTTGCTCTGCTGGAGATTCTCGCTCGCTAAAATTTCAATTAGTTATTCGATTTCTTCGATTCCGTAGAGAGGCGGCAAGGCGGTAATAAGAACCAAGGAATGATCTATTGAACTAGACAGGCGATCATCTACCGCGGTTCGTGGCGTAGCTTCTTTCCACTTTGCTTTGAAGGGAGGCACGGAGGGCTCACTCTTTATGTACCCTGCTGGAAACAACCTTGTCAACTACAAACGGGCGGCGGAGTGTGGTGGGCAACTGCGTTTGTCGGTATGTTTTTTGATATCTAGTAAACTGTGGATCGTGTACCATCGCAATCGATGCTCGTTGCCTTGGTGGCGCCGTCTCCGAAGCTTATGTCAGGGCTCAGGGGGCGCCAGCCATGGATTTTCCAAAGAGAAACAGCCTACGGTGAGATTTACGATGGGAGCGGATCCATGAAGGATCGTTCAGCTGTGCCACAACCTTTTGGCTTTACCAAATGCTTATTGCCTGCCCATCGTGATGTAAAGGAAAAAGGCAAGCGGCATGCTGATGCTGCCTCCACTGTCTGCAGTTATAAAGATATCCAAGGCTTCCGCTTTCCTCCTCGTCATCGTTCCTTTCAAGACCTTCGAGAACACCATCTCACCCAAAGAGCCTCCTTACTTTACCAACTTTACCAAGCGACAGGCAACGCCCCTGCTTGCATCATAGACTGCGGCACCCCTACATCCCAAGAAAGACACGCACCGACCCCAATCCTTCTTTCAACGGCCTGACTTCATCGCGCATTCCAACCGCCGCACACCTAAGAAACTCTTACTGCGCCGATCCTAAAGTACCTTACCTTACCGGTAAACCGTACTTCGTCTTTACCCAAATCCTACCGAACACAGCCAAGCAATCAAGAGCGGAAGGAGGACAAGGGAAGCAACCACACAACTTTCAGGGCGTACCAATTCTTCCGGCCTTCCGTCATACTTGGTAGTGTGGTGGCAACCAGACCACACAGTCCATTACACATCACATTGCCCATCGTCTGACGGCATATTGGACCAGTCCGAGCATCCCTGCCAGTGTGGATAGACCGTCACACTTCGAATCTCTTGGCACTCTGACACGCCCTGCCCATCACTCTTGAAACGGGAAAGAGACAAAATTCCACTCGCTCCCACTTCCGCCAATTCCTGCAACCTTTTTACATCTTGCATCTTGCTCATACCAATCTCAAACTTTGGCCTAATCACTTTCGAGTCGCACACGAGACTTGCAAGGCCTTATTCCGTACTGTAGATTGGGATTTCTGCAGCGTCGCATTTCGATCAGCGTCGCATACACACCTACCTTCCTTCCTACCGAATAGTCGGGCCTAGCCAAACACATCACAGCGAAAGCGAAAATGAGATTAGATCTCGCAGTCGTCGCGCTGACGCTGCTCGCGCCCGCGTGGGCCGCCGCCGTGGAACCCGGTCTCCACGGCTCCGACGTCGCATTCCTCGCCCCCAAATCCGAGCGCGACAACGCCCAGCAGGACGAGAAGCTGTGGAAGCGCAAGGGCGGTGGTGGCGGCGGCGGCGGTCGCGGCGGAGGCTCTTCTTCAGGTGGGTCCCGGTCGGGAGGTGGCAGTCGCTCCGGCGGCTCCAAATCCGGTTCTGGTTCTTCAGGGTCAAGCTCATCAAAAGGCGGTTCATCAGGTGGCTCAAAAAGTGGCGGCAGCAGCAGTGGTGGTTCCAGGTACAGACCCCCGTCTTCTTCTCCTTCTTCGTCAACCGGACGGTGGAGGTGGCCGTCCTCAGGCAGAGGCAGAAGCAGCAGACAGCAGACTAACACGAAATCAAGTACCTCGAGAGGCGGTTCTCGCGATAGCTCTGGCGGATCGACAAGGACAGGAAGCGGACCGGTCCCGGCGTATGGAGGTGGTAGATACTATGGCGGCGGCGCGACGGTGCCCTACACGGCTGGCGCAAGGAGGGGCAACATGGTGCCGTTCCTGCTCGTCGGTGGTGCGTTGGCCTTCTGGCCTGGGCTTTGGCTCGGCGCGCACATGTATCCCTACAGCCACCCGTACCGGTACTACAACGAGACAGCCCGCCAGAACCAGACGAAGCCAGTACTGTGCGGTTGCCAAGAGTACCAGCCCTGCGGCTGCGACGAGAACAACAGCACCGAGTACATGAACTCGCTCCTCGGCAACGGCAGCTATGCCGCGCTGAACAAGTCCGTCGTCAACATTGGCGAGTACAACGGCAACGAGACAATCCTCATCAACGGCTCCCTGCCCAACGGCACGACAGCTGCCGGCGGTTCCGACGAGGTCGGCTCCGCTGCCTTCCGCACCGCTGTGGAGACGCTCGGCTTCTGGCCCGTTGTTGTGGTTGTTCTCGCTACCGTCTTCGCGGCATAATGCGCAACCGATGTTGGATGTATGACCACGCCTTTGTACACTAATGATGGATGGGTTTACATGCATAAGGGTTGGCTGTATGACTTTTTTGGGGTTTCTTGGAGTTTTATTTTGGAACAAGATACCCTACAAACGACGCTGGAAGAGTCCCATGATTATGAGGGCGGGTTCCATCGCTGGGGTCGGCAAAATGAAGCAGTAGTTAGTGATGAACAAATACAAGTATGATATGCTAGCTGGTCGAAAATATGCTGAGTGAAACTGCGCCAGATGCTGCTGAAATACCAACTTAAGGTAAGCCGGCGTCCGCATTGAAAAACATCAACGCCAACTACGATGTAAAATTGCTGTTACCGCCTCGGACTGTCGGGGACGCTGTTGACCGCTGCACTCAAGCTTCGGCTACGGCCTCTCTTTCAGCCCGTCTTCGCTCACACCAAACACCCAACTCTCTCCAAATCCTTTCCTTCTCAGCCGGGCGGAGCGATGCAGCAAGTCCGCTCGTGCTTGTAGCAACAAAGACCTTGGCGCCAGCCCACGCCTGAAACGCCTCTACACCATCTCCTTCGATCCCCTCATCCTGCTCCGCCTTCACAACGACACCCATGTTCTCGCTCTCGTCCTGCCACCCGTACCGAAACTCCTCCTTCTTGATACCCCTTCCGTGCCTCACCCGCCAGATGCTCTCCCAGATCGACTTGCCCACGATACAGACGACCTCGGGTCTGCAGCCCCGGACCTTCTCCTCGAGGGCCCCGACGCCCTCGTCCATCTCCGCCTTGGAGAGCTCGGCGCCGTTGCGGCTCGGGCGGGCGACAATGTTGGTGTTGCCCAGCCCGTACAGCGCCGGCAGGTCGCGGTCCTCCGTCGGGGCGCAGAGGCGCGGGGTGATGCCCGAGGAGTAGAGGAGCTTCCAAAAGAGATTGGAGGGGTGGGCGTAGACGTGGCCGAGGGCTGCGGTGCGGAGGCCTGGGTTGAGGCCGACGAAGAGGACGAGGAGGTCTGGTGCGAGAATGTCGGTTAGGTGGGGGAGGTGGGCGTAGGTTGAGGGTGGCGCGTAGCCTCCGGCGGCCTTGCGTTTGCGTTTTGATTTTGGTTTTGCGGTTGGCTCTGGCTTTGGGCTTGGTTTGTTGGAGATGTCTTGTAAGTCTTCTTCTGCTTCTTCGAATTTGAGAGAGATGGATGTTGAAGCGGACTCGAGGGCTTGCGATTTGGTGCGGCCGCGGGTCGTCTGCTTGGTGACTCGGTTCGGGGACGGGACGGGGCCGAGTGGAGTCTGCTTTCGCGGACTACGACGGAGGGGCCGCCGCGGGGGATCTCTGGGAGATGTAGAAACGTTGTTGGCAGTGATAGTACTGCCAATGCTGGTGCTGGGCGGTTCGCCTGTCGGGGTGAACATGAAGTCTTGCATCTGAAGTCGCCCCTTAAAGCTCGCAGCCTTGGGTTGAGGCTCCGCGTCAAAGAACGGCGAGTCCATAGCTGATTTTGATTGTCGAACGTTGGAGAAACAACTTCAGATTCCAGTCTGTATGGCGGGCTGGGCTACCCTGTCAGGTCTCAACCGAGCCGGCCGTCTCATCAACAACAAGGTCCTAGTTGTGATGTTTGTTGGAGCCACTGTTGTACGTCTCTGTACGAGGCTTTAAGTGTTAAATCTCGTCAAATGAGGGAGGAAAGAATCACGCAGCCTCAGACATGCGTTGACGTGCTGCGTAATACGAGGTTCAAGACGAAAGAGTTTGGGTAATATGTATTTTGATATCGAGAATGCGCCTCCAGATGTGCTCACTTGCAGCACATCGGCTCTATCCCTTGATGTACTCAGCAGTGTCGGGCAAGGTATGATTCGGGGTATTGAGGGTGTCCTTGAAGCAAGACGATGAATACGGCACACCGTTGATGGGATCGGGTTTGGGGAGAAGTAGTTCGATTTTGAGTTTGAGGCAAGTTGAACTAAACGTTGCTTGACAGGTCCTGGCTAGAACCTCGCCAACATGTTAGGACGAAGTAGCTTAAGGTAATTTGATTTAGGGGTCCTGCCTTCCTTTGGCGTCATCCGTGCTACTGGACCCACAAAACCTCTACAGTTGTTCAAAGGCAGGAGCGACTCGCAATAAAGAAGCTTCAGCTTGACTTTTATCCAGCAGCAAATCCGTAACGACTAAGATAGCTCTCGTCAGCATCTTGATAAGTCAGCGGCAAACCATCATCATAGAATGACGGATATTCCTTCGAAGATTTAACGTTTAGCTTAATCAAGTGCTCAGGCTTGTTGTTGTTGATTCTACATCACCAAGATAAAAACCAAGACTTGCTTTAACGGCCAAAATTTCAAACTGCAATTCAATTTCAATTGATCAAGCAAAACGGAAACTCCTCCACATATGGTATCTATCATGCACCTCCAGACCCGTATATACAATGTATCGCTATGCTCCAAAAGACCATGAACCTCCATTCAACGAGTAGTACCCTCTCCTTTTCAACTCTGACGGCATCTTTACCCAGTTTACAGGACAATGATGTTATCCACCCTCCGCCCTTGGGTCTCAATGAAGTATTTTCTCCGAACCCCCACACCGAGGGCATTGCCAAATTTCTCATATGCCTCTGGTCCACCACCGCGAATCATCACCATAGCGATGGGGTGCGGCCGCCGCAGCCCCGACGGTGTGACCTGCTCAACGTCCAGGTGAGGCTTAATCATCTCATATTCCCACAAGTCAGGGGCGCTGAACACATAATTGGTCTCGAGCTCCTCCTCGTCGACAATGATGACAAGCTGTAGAGATCGCGGCGAGGGTGTGTAGGAGGGAATGTTGGCAATCTTTTCACTGAATGAGCAGCCCCCACGGCGCAGGACAATAATCTGGTGATTGCGAGGCGCTTCGTCAGGCAGGCGACCGTCACACCCAAAGCCTGCTCGATAGACTGTCTGCCAAGAAAGGTTCGGAGGGGTGTCGTCACTTGGGATAGAAGCATCAGTAACATCGGGAAGCGGAACAGCCCCTTTGCCCACTGCCAAAGCACCCATATAGCTCTCAACATGGAAGTTTGCCTTGGCACCAGCGGGGAGTGGCGCCGGGGTATTGGTGGGATCAAAGACAGAGGTGACAGCGCGGATCATGGACTTGAGCATGGACCTGTAGGCAGTGTTCATACTCTTGCCGGAAGTCTGGTCTTCTACGAGCTCAGATTGCGCCTCTTCAGTGAGCTGAACTTGATCGTCAAGGTCACTAATTTCAACCTCCAGCCCCTCGGCGGGGGCAGGTGCACTGGCGTTACGCTCTTCCGGCTCCCCGTGCATCATGATGAGCTCGACAAAGCCATTGTATCGAACACGATTGAATAGAGGATCGGAAATGCCTTTCAAGAGGTCCGCGTCAATGTGAACTGGCTCATCTCTTCCTAGCGGCATATGGTTGACCTGGGTGACCCTCCATGTATGATCGTATGCTGAATCAAACGAATCTTCCTGAACGAAGTGGACTTTCAATCCACTCAGAGCAGAGATCCTGACGCCTACAGGTGTCTTGAAGGCGGCAGTGTTGGCAAACAGGCTATTGAAGGCGCTCCCAACGCTGCCCTGTTGAATATTTGCCGGAAACTCAATGACTAGCGTAGGCTTGAAAGGCAGGGCGGCACAGGTGCCGTTGTCTGGGATGAGCGTGCGTGGAAGTGTCCAGGGGAAAAAAGTATGGTTTGCCTTGTATCTCGATATCGAGCCATTGCTGCCTTTTCCGGCGGGAACCAACTCAACTCCACTACGTGGGTTGGAGATGGTGTGAAGATTGACGAAACTCGCTGCGTGAAAGACATCGGGCCGCGCAGCCAGAACAGAACCCGTAAGAGGAACTTGCTTTGGGATAGGGCAGGTATTCGTAAAATTCTCGTCGTAGTAGACCTCGACGCTGCTGTGTTGTTTGCGACGTTCCTGCTTCTTGTTTGGCCTCGTTCTTCTCCGAGGGATGATCAGAGGATGCGCCTCTGTAGTGAAGACATAAGCGGCATCGAGCTTGTTCAACGGGTGGTCTGGATCGAAGAGCAGATATAGATACTTGGTGGTCTCTCCAAGAAAAAAGCTCTGCATACGGTCGGCCTTCTCCCCAGTGTCGACATTCTGGAGGCCGGACCAACCGCATTTCGTGTAACACAGTCTCTTGATGTCACTAAGGACCATCTCCCCGACGTGCACATACCAGGGGTCGTTCGTAGCGCGATACAGGTAATAGTTGGACTCGATGAATTCAGGGCGGCCAGGCCACCAACCAATGCCTGAGTCGACTTGTCTCTCACGTACAGACCATCTCTCGGGCAACGCCCCGTAACGTGTCCATAAAGCTGTATATAGTAGGTTGGCTTCCTCGGCCTCCTCAATCTCACCTGCCATCGCAAGCAATCCAGGATAAAAGGCTGCTAAGCTGTCAATCCAGCTTGTGAAAGCGTACCCGCGAGTTCGGTGACCAGTCATGTAATATGGGTGATGCGCGTCATTGTACAGGTGGCGCTTGATAGCTGCGTGCGCATGGTGCCACGCCTCCAGGAAAGCACCAGCAGAGTTCTCCTCAGGCGTTAAAGGTGTGTCGTGTAATGTATTGGGATCGAGCCACTGCCGATCAGTGGGTGGCTCTGAGGCGGTGATATTCGGTAGCTCATGACCAGACAATAGAATATGGCTTTTCAGTGCATATTCAAAGAAGCTGTCAACGCCAGCGCCAATCCCCGAGTCAAAGCTGACCCACTCGCCCTTTTCAGGGTCAATTGCATTACCAACAAGACCAATGTCGCTCTTGGCCTTCCACACTGCCCAAAACGCTCGCTTCGCCAACTGTTCGAACCTTGAGTCGCCTGTGAGCCTGCTGAGAACGGTGAATTCTAGGACAAGGCTTCCGGCGCCGGCGCTACACGTATCCGTCTTTTCGTTCGTCGCTCGAGTTGAATCCGGGTCATCGCGAGAGACTTTATGCAGTGGAGAGTTGACGTAGAAAGGTATGCCGTGTCGCAGGTTGACTCGTGGATACGGCAGCCCTGTGTTCGTATAGAAAGCAGGCAAGAGTCGCTCTGCAAGGTCCAAAGCTAGTCTGAGAAGCTGCCCATCGTACTTGAAGTTGTTTGGCCATGCTATGGGGTGCAGCTCCAGCGGATCAGAATCCTCGTCTTCGTTGAAAGTTTGGCCCGGGTTATAGCCAGGTATAGGCAACTCTCCTATAGCAAACAAATGCGCGCTCAGCAAGCCGCCGACTCCTCTGATGACTGTCTCGAAGACTTGAACTTTGCTGTCCAGATCAAAGCCTCGCGCCCTTCGCCCTTCCCCAGACGGCCCGCGTCTTCCGTCGCCATAGTATTCGACGAAAGCTGCGACGCTCTGCTGGAACTCCTGCAGAGCCCAGACAGCAGTATGTTCATCGGAGGGTGTCCCTGCGAGGATAGCCAGGGTCGAAAGGCTGTCGATGAGGGTAAGGGAGTAGTTGCCAAGGACATCGTTCAAATCGTAGTTTCCGGGGTTCGCCGGGTCGCGCGTCAACGGTGTACAGGATATCGGGCGTAACTAGATGCGAAGTCAGTCTGTTTCCAATGCCTCACAGATGCTAGGTGTTTGCGTACCTCGTCCTCGGGGAATGCAACGCGCATGTAGTTGTCCCAGCCATGGTGGAAGACCTGGGTAGTTGCATTTCGAAGTTCGGCAAGGTGAGCGTGACTTAGTGCAAACACAACTGTCGGCCATAAAAGACACAGGTAGCCCAGGATGGATGATCGCGATAACATGGTGATGCTATCTCTTGTGGCGCTGGGCAGGGTTCCCATCAATCAGCCGGCTGCCAGCGGCAGATGCCTCTCGATTTATGCGGGACTGAAGTCGAGGCTCTTCATGGAATTTGGGCCATCAAGCAAGTTGTTCTTTGAAAAATAACATGGGTATCACCGAAAAAAAGACAATATTCGCAGAGAAAATATGGAACAACGTTGAACTGAAAAACGTCGCCCGCCCTTGATAGGTCTCGTGTCTGACGTCGAACATCAAAGTGGGATGCGATGTCTGTCATCTTCCTCCCATTGGTGGAGCTGCTGACTCAGCACGCCTATTTTCGGTGCGTTGCTGCTGTAGTGCTGCACCTCAACTTCTGGCACCTACCGTAGTGTATAGTCAGATTGGACGAACGTGTCTTGAGTCAGTTGCCGATCAGGCTTCTAGAAGGTGTTGATAAAGTCGTGATGTTATTCCCTGCCTTCTATAGATCCGGCCAACGGCAATAAAATCTTACTTTCAATTGCCGTTTGCATGAGGCACACAATCATTTATATGCTCGATCAGCACAGATATAATACCCGATTATTCCCCGAGAACGCAGCAAGAGCAGCTTGGAAAAATGAAGAGCAACATGATTGGGGTTTATGCGGTAAGGTATGAAACTGAAAAGAATGATAGTACTTGCTGGAAAAAGTTGCAAAATCAACTGACCTTTGGAATTTCTACCAAGGTGGTGGGGGAAATGGATAGAAGGCATAGGCAAGCTTCGTAAGAGAAGCTCTATCTAGTGTAGGTTGATCAGGCCGAGAAGGAATGGAAGAATCTACGTGACCCTCTTATCTTGCTTATCGCAAAATCTTACCTCATCACTGAGAACAAGGTGTGGCCAGTGCACTCACCACCGTTCGCGCTAACTGACGGGAAGCTTTCTTTCTTCCAACAACCCCACAGCGCCAAAATCCTCCAAAGTCAACCTCATCGAAGGATGCTTTCTCGAAGCGCTTCTGTTGTTGGGCGACAGGCGCGCCGCATAAGCGCGAAACCTCTTCTTCTACATGACCAAGTTCTAACCCACAATATCGAGGCTATCTAATGAAGACTTCGATACGATGCACGCTTGCCTCACGCCCAGGGCCGATGATAGTCAATGTCGGAGCGCAGCGGTCCATCACCGGTGCTGCCCCCACAACGTTAAGCCATTCCGATCAGAACCGT